GACGACCACTCTGCCACGCGGTGCTTCTGCCGCCTCGACGACCTCTACCGTGCTCGTTGGGGCACTACGGCGACCACGCCTCGCTGGGCTCGCCTGTTAGCCCGTAAGATTGATGTGTTTGATCTGTCCATGGACGATGCTCGTCAGCATGCTTTGTATGCTGATGTTGACTATAGTGCTGATGGATCTGTTTGCTCGCGTGTTCGTCGATTAGCTTGCTTGCCTCCTGCTAGTGTAGACTTGTGCCTTTCTAGTCTAGGTGCCTGTGTTGCTGCTCTAAGTGCTTGTGTAGCCACTAGGACAGGTGACCCTCCAGCTGAGGCGTCCCTGTCCTTCACGCTGGACTCTGGTGCGTCTCAGTGCTTCTTCCGCGACCACACAACCCTCACGCCACTCCTCACTCCTGTCTCGGTGGCTCTGGCTGATCCTACCTCAGGACGAGCCGTTGCGCGTAGCTCCACTACCCTCCCGTGTCCTGTGGTCCCCTCTGGTATCCTGCGCGGCCTCCACATCCCCTCGTTCACTCGGAAATTGGTGGGTGTTGGTTACCTCCAGGACAGGGGGATCACGGTTACCTTTGTGGGGAGGACTGCGGTCTGTACAGACGCTGCCACAGGTGCTGTTCTGGCCACGTTCACCAGGGAGCCCCGCTCCGGTCTCTACGTTCTCCACACCGAGCGCTCCCCGGTTGCGTCCTCCGCTCAGGTCGTTGCGTCCCCTCCAGTCCAGGTGTCCAGTCCGGTTGCTGTGTCTAGCCAGGTGGTCGTGTCTTGTCCAGTTGCAGTGTCTAGTCAGGTCGCGCTGTCTAGTCCAGTCGCTGCGTCCTGCTCCTGTCGGTCCCTCACCCACCGGACCGTCTTGTGGCACCACCACCTGGGCCACCCGTCGATCCCCCGCCTCCGCGGGATGACCACTCACGGGCTTGTCACCGGTCTCCCACGCACCTTTCCGTCGCTCCCCACCTCCCCAACTCCCCCTTGCACTCCTTGCGTCGCCGGTCGCTTACGCGCCACTCCCCACTCCTCCTCCCTTCGTCCGGCCACTGCTCCCTTCGAGACCCTCCACTTGGACGTCTGGGGCCCTGCCCCGACGCAGGGTTCTGGGAGGGAGCGTTACTTTCTGGTGGTCGTCGACGACTTCTCCAGGTACACCACAGTGTTTCCTCTCGCGAAGAAGTCCGAGGTGACTGCTACGCTGATCCGGTGGCTTCTGGCTACTGAGGGCACTCGTGGTCGTCGTGTCAGTTGTCTACACTCCGACCGTGGGGGCGAGTTTCGCTCCGGCATTCTTGGCGGATTCTGCGGCGAACAGGGCATCGTACAGTCCTGGACGCTTCCGGAGTCCCCACAGCAGAATGGGGTTGCTGAGTGCCGCATTGGCTTGGTCATGGACATTGCTCGCACGTCCATGATCCATGCCCGTGCGCCCCATTTTCTGTGGCCCTATGCGGTTCGCTACCCCGCACACCAGCTGAACCTCCAGCCGCGTGTCTCGCGGCCCGAGGCTTCACCGACCAGTCTTTGGACCGGTTCCCCTGGTGTTGGGTCGGCCTTTCGTGTCTGGGGCTGCCTTGTGCTTGTTCGCGACACCTCCGCGGACAAGCTCTCGGCACGCGCCGTCCCCTGTATCTTCCTTGGTTTCCCAGTGGACTCTGCCGACTGGTCCTTTTACCACCCGCCCCTCTACCAGTTTCTAGACTCCCGTGACGTCCGGTTTGATGAGTCTGTGTCCTACTACACCCGGTACCCATGTCGAGGTCTCCCGGTACCCCCTCCCCCTCTTTTCCTCGCACCCTCTCCTCCTCCTGCTCCCGCTCCTCCGGTACCCCCGCCCCCCCCTGGTCCTGCCCCGTCTGGTGTGTCCCACGCTACCCCTCTACCCTCGGTCACGCGCCAGGTCGCGTCTCCCTCCCCGCAGTCCTCCTCACAGTCCCCTCAGCAGCCTTCAGCACTTCCGCGACAGGTTACTGTGGACTTGGTTGGTGTTGGAGCTGGAGGTGCAGCCGCTGGCGGTCCTCGGTCTGGGGGTGCTCGTTCGGGGGGTGCTGGAGCTGGAGGTCCTGGCACAGGAGGTGCTGGTTCTGGGTGTGCTGGAGCTGGAGGTGCTGGTTCTGGGGGTGCTGGTGCTGGAGGCGCTGGCACTGGAGGTGCTGGTTCTGAGGAGTCTGGGGCTGGAGACCCTGGTTCTGCGGAGTCCACTCCGCCTCCCCACTGCCACGACACGCGTCTCCAGGCGGCCCGTCGGCGTGAGCGTGAGGAGCAGGTGCTGTTGGAGAGGGAGCGGCAGGAGTTGCGGCAGTTGGACCTGCTGGAGCAGCAGCAGCAGCAGCAGCAGCAGCTGCAGCAGCAGCAACGACCGCAGCAGCAGCCGCCGCCGCAGCAGCAGCAGCCGCCGCCGCAGCAGCAGACACCACCGCCGCCGCCGCGACCACCGCAGCTCCCTCTGGAGCGGCAGTTGTTCCCACCCGTGAGTGGCCTTCGGGCCCTTGGTCTTCCCTCCTCTCCTCCTGTTCACACTCCGTCCCCTTTAGCGTTTGGTCCCACGTTTCCTCCTCCTGACGACAGTCCGGCGGTCTGGTCTTCTCCTCCACCGCAGTCTCCTCCACCTCGTGTCCCACACTATCGTGTCCGTCCCTGTCCTCCGCGTGCTCGTCCCTCGTCTCCCGTTACCGACCTACGCACTGCCCTCCTTTGTTCGTCTCTTCGTCGTCCTCCTCCTGAGTCCGTTCTCCCGTCTCCTCCTCCGTCCTCTCTCCCTTCCCCCCCTACTCGTGTCACTGACTACTACCGCGCTGTTCGTCCTGTTGTCTCTCGTGTCCTCGCCACTCTTGTCACCACCTCTCGTTTCCCTCCGTCGTCTGTCTCGGCTCTCACTGCCGCTGTCGCTGAGTTTGCTGCCGCCAGTCGCCTTGACTACACCACCCGAGTGGTGCCAGCTCCTCCCTCCCGTCCTCTGTCCATCGGGGGTGAGTTTGCCCTTGGCTGTGACGTCCTAGAGGACAGAGAGTCTGAGCTGGAGTACTGGGCAGCCGCTTCTCCCTCTGTCTGTGCCATGCTGCTATCCCCTGAGGGAGACCCCGACGCCCTTGACATACCGACTCCTCGTACTTACCGCGAGGTAGTGTCAGGGGCGTGGGCCTCTCAGTGGAAAGCGGCTATGGCCTCGGAGTTAGCGTCTTGGAGATCCACAGGCACCTACGTCGACGCAGTTCCCCCTCCCAGGGCGAACGTAGTCGATGGCATGTGGCTCTTCAAGGTGAAGCGGCCGCCTGGCTCACCGCCTATGTTCAAGGCGCGCTACGTGGCTAGGGGTTTCAGTCAGCGTGAGGGAGTTGACTTCTTCCAGACCTTCGCCCCGACCCCGAAGATGACTACTCTTCGGGTGTTACTGCACGTAGCAGCACATCGAGACTACGATCTGCACTCCCTTGAATTCTCTACTGCGTTTCTCCAGGGCCGGCTACACGAGGAGATCTGGCTGCGCCGCCCTCCTGGCTTCTCTGACACCTTCCCACCTGGGACCCAGTGGAGCCTGAGACGGCCAGTCTACGGTCTCCGCCAGTCGCCCCGTGAGTGGCACGACACTCTTCGCTCCACGCTTCGTGACCTTGGGTTTTGTCCTTCCTCTGCCGACCCGTCGCTGTTTGTTCGCACTGGTTCCACTCCTTTCTTTATACTAGTGTACGTCGACGAATTGGTCTTTGCCACAGCAGACAGGGCAGCTCTGGCTCAGGTGAAGTCCGAACTGCAGAAGAGACACAAGTGCACTGACCTAGGTGAACTGCAGCGCTACCTTGGCCTGCAGATCACCAGGGACAGAGCCGCTCGCACCATCACACTGACTCAGTCACACATGGTGCAGGAGGTCCTTCGGCGGTTCGACTTCCAGTTCTCCACCACACAGCCCACACCTCTTGCTGTTGACCACAGACTCACTGGCCCCTTTCCCGACGAGCCATTTGAGTCCATTGGTCCCTACGCAGAGCTGGTGGGCTGCCTCATGTACCTGATGACTTGTACTCGGCCGGACCTCGCCTTTCCCCTCAGCATACTTTCTCGCTTTGTTGCGACTGGGAGACACCGTCCTGTCCACGGGACAGCTGCTGTGAGGGTGGCGAAGTACCTGGCGACTACATCAGGCATGGGGCTTGTGCTTGGAGGGACTCAGCCAGTGGCGTTGACTGGTCACTGCGACTCTTCCTACGCTGACGACGTGGAGACTCAGCGATCGGCTCAGGGTTACTGCTTCACTCTGGGAGCTGGTGCTGTGTCGTGGAGGTCTACACGGTCGTCGTCTGTGGCTACTTCCAGTGCAGAGGCAGAGATCTACGCTGGTGCCATGGCGGCACAGGAGCTTCGCTGGTTGACCTTCTTGCTCGCCGACCTTGGTGAGCGGCCTCGCTCTGCACCGACCTTGTACGCTGACAACAAGGCCATGATCCTCCTCTGTCGAGAGCCTCGACTGGAGAGCAGAGTGAAGCATATTGACGTGAGGTACTTCCTCCTGCGAGAGCTGCAGCGACGTGGCCAGGCACGCCTGGACTTTGTGGCCTCAGAGGCCAACACTGCAGACGTCTTCACCAAGGCCCTAGCGCTTGGTGACCACCACAGGTTCTGTGTGCAGTTGGGGCTTATTGAGGTAGGCCCTCGGTTGCTGTAGTCTTGTTGCTTGCTCTGCTTGTTGTGCTTTCATATATATATGTATCCTAGTGAACTCTTGAGCTGGCCTTGTGGCCGCTTGCTTGCGCTCGGAATTTGTGTGGTGTCCTTGAGATCCACCCTGAACTTGTTTTGCTTCTTGCTGACTGGTCTTGTGACTGTTTGTTCACTCTGCTTAATCTGGTGCCCCTCACTTAGCCTATGGGGGTGTGTCAAATGTTGATATTTGTGATAGGCTGTAGTTAGTTGCTCCTTAGAGAGTATAACACAGTTAGGGTTGCCTATTTGTACTGCCTTGTTTCCTAAACATATCATTACGTTGCATTCTACTCTTAAGAGGGCTCAACATGTGGAGCTGGCCGTTGACCAGCCATGCATCAAAGTCAATCGCCCGCCCCTCCGTATCGAGTCGCAGTACGAACCCGCATGCCATAACCGGGGTAGCAGTGGCACAACTGGTGCAGCCGAGAGGGGACGACCGAAGGTGGAGGCGAAGAACACAGAGACAGTGTGGCAGAGCGAAACCTTAAGCCGCGGCCGCATGCGCGGAGGCCTCGACAGGCGTGGCGACAGGTGCTCGGCAGGTGTAGCTGCAGGTGGGGCCAACAGGCTCGGCAGGCACGCGTCCAGCCCATCGACGGGGCGCGTCGGTACGGCGAGGCAGGGCGCGGGAGGGTGCGCGGCAGGGCGCACGGTAGGCCCGGGTGGGCGCAGAAGGGCGCGACAGAGCATGAAGCAGTGCACGGGCAGGGCGCGGCAGGGCGCGATAGAGCATGAAACAGTGCGCAGGCAGGGCGCGACAGGTCGCGATGTATGCCGCAGGACGCGCGCGACACGGCGCGCGGTAGGGCGCGACATGGCGTGGCCGGGCTCACAATAGGTACGTGGAAAGGCACACTGTAGGCCGCGGCAGGCGTGCGGCAGTGCGTGCGGTCGGGTGCGGCAGGCGCAGACGCGGGAGGCGCGGACAAGCATGCGTAGGCGCGCCGACGTTAGGCGCGCGCGCGGTAGGGCGTGTGGTAGGGCGCGTGGGCGGTGCAAGTGCAGCAGTGGCAGAGCGCGGAGTTGGGCGCGGCTAGGGAGCGACGGGGCCACGTCCAGTGCGTGACGGCGAGGCGCGACTAGGGCGCACGACCAAGGGGGGGTGGGTGGGGTAGCTTTGGAGGGGGGAAGGCGGCTAGGGCGTGATGGTAGGGCGCGAGAGTGCTCTAGAGAGAAGGTGGGGAGGAGGGGGGGGGGGGGGGGGGGGGAGGGGATGCCTAGGGGACCTAGGGAGGTAGGCAGTGTGGAAGCAAGAATACAACCATTTATGATACTATATTAGAAATTGAGAAAATGAATGAACTAGGACATATAGATGGGGTGTACGTAGCAAACATGTACTCTCTACAGTCCAACCCAACCTAACGTAACAAATACATGTGCAAATGCATGTGTACATTTAGAACACTTTCAGTAATAATGTTTAGAAAGCGTAAAACAAGACTCTCACTAGGGTTTGGGCCTGTCTGAAAAAAAAAATTGGTTTTGTTGTTTGAAGTATAAGACGAAAATTTATACAGTCTGAATCATCAGTCAGAATAATTCCACCGGTCTGAAACAGTTAAACAGTTATCCTAGCTATCTGACACAAACTAAACATATCCTAGCTATGCTTATCATCTTAAATATGTAAAGCAGTCATCGTCTCGTGGCTAACTACACATATCCTAGTCAGAGTCACTAACTAACAACCTAGCAAACTAGTCAGAGTCACAGCCGCCACTCTCGTCGTCATCACTGTCATCCTCGCTTTCTGACAATGGCTCAGGGACTTTCACCTTGTATTACGACTAAGCCAGGGGTACTCTGCATCCAGCCTTGCTGCTTCTGCTGCTAGGGCTGCTTCTCGAGCTGCAGCTTCAGCTGCTGCCAATGCTGCTTTTGCTGCTGCCGATGCTGATGCAGATCTCTTCTTCGCACGCTTGCTCTGTCTCTCCCTGGACGCCATCAGCACATCCTTGGTAGGCCTGCGCTTCTTGGAAGCATGCCACCTCCTCTGTAAGTCGGGCCACTCCATGTCATAGCTCAGGAGCGAGACGGTCATCAGCTCGCCGAGCTGCGCATCGCACAGGTTCCCGCGAAGCCAGCTTTTGATCACGTTCTGCCGTGAGAAGCCGCGCTCGCACTCCGGTGCTTAGCGGCAGCACGTCGATGACGATCCATAAGTGCACGAGGTTCGGGTAGCATGTCGTCCAGTCGGGAGATGACAGCATGAGCTTCAGACTATCCGCAAACCCACATCCTCCTGGTGGGTGGCCATGATAGTGGAGAAGGTGACGATCTCCCTCTGTGCTCTCGCCCAATTGATGCCTGTGGGTGGGGTGCGCACACGGGCGGGGGTGCAAGGGGATTGTTAGCAACGGGATAATAATGAACACTTAAACTATAAACACATCACACACTAGCATCAAACCACAAGGTTGTAACGCACCTGGTAGAGTATCCGAGTCTTCAGGCTTCTTCTTGAACATGTTGCGCAGAGACTGCAGCCATTGTCCCAATCTGCGCTCACGTTTTGCCTGGGTCTTGGGATATGATCCCTGCTTGAATAGCTTCGCCCCGTCGAGCATGGCAAGGTCCTTGAGGCGGTAGTCAAGCCTATCGATCAATGTGGTAACGAACCCGCGCGCCAGCTCCGAACAAGCTCGGTTGTCCACACCACTTTTCTGCCCATCGATGGGATCCTCGTGAAGTCGGTGTCGATGGCTGGTCGAAGTACCGTCAGACGCCGTGCCAGCAACGAGCATCTCACGGAACTCCCCTGAAGCATGATTCTTGAGCCACAGCCCCAACGCATCGCCGCTCTGGCCGAATGACTCGTCGCCGCTGTCAAGGTAACGAGTGCGCAGCAGCAGAGTCGTGTTGTGTACCATCGGCAGCACATGGGTTGCGTCAACCTGAGGAGGGGGCAGCAACAACAAAGGAGGTTAGTTAAACCGTCAAGTTAAAGAGCTAAACGATTTCAAACTTAACATGCTCACCTGGCGACGCTGGAACTTCATGTTGAGAAGGTTGAGCTCCTTTAACACATCCGCAAGGAAGAACAGCAAGGAATGAAATTTGTAGCTAGTGACGACCTGATACATCTTACGGTCGAACTCGTGCAAGACAATCACTGCAGCCGGAAACACTTCGACCAAGCGCTGAATGGATTGACCGCGAGAAAGCCATCGAATGTCCTTTATCCCTTGCACTACGACGTTGGTCTCACAGAAGACCTCATGCAGCTCTTGGAAACGCGAGTGGACATTAGAGGAACGACCAATGTTATCCGCAACGGAGCGCACAACATTGTCCACAATGCCCAGGTCCGAAAAGGCGGTGGCGGCATCCTTGGCCGCCAATACATCCCTGCAAGAAAATGAACGTTACATTAGTACTGATTTTCAAATCAACTATAACATAAATGATTTAATTGAGAACTTGCCTGTGTGCGATACAGTGGGACGACACAAGGTGAGGAATCTTCGCTTTGAGGCGCGCGGCCACTCCGTTGTGCTGGCCAATCATTACATTAGCTCCATTTGTGCTGATACCGCAGATGCGCTGGAGATCGATGCCGGTACTCTCCAAATGCGTCAAGAGAACGGTAGTGAGCGAGGCGGCGTCACACTGCTCCACGGTGAGCAGGGCGTAGAACTCGCAGACAGGAGCGTTGTCACGCATGAACGTCATGTAGATGATCATGTGTTTCCCCCTCCGTCTGTCGGTGCTCTCGTCCAGCTAGATTCCAAGGTAAGGACTAGCGCGGATGTGCTTCAGCTGGCAGGATTTCAGGTAGCAGACCATGGTCTCAACCAGTTGTGCGAAACCGTACATGAAACAAGCACGGGGAGGTAATTGTGAGTAAAAAATAACATGTATCACATAACAAGGGTAAAAAACGGGACACTTACTCGATGTAGTACGTGCCGTTCTCCTTCAGGGGCAGATCCGGAGTCCCCTGCTCGGCCATGAACTGAACCAATCACACAAAGAGCACAATGGGTGCGTCAGACTTGCAAATGAAGAGAACAATGGACATCAAATGAGCAATACACTTGACATCCTCGTCCCCTTTGTCGAAGTCCGCAATGGACTTTTGTCCTTTCTTCTGTCCGTCACGCTGCTCCTTCCTCGACACCGCCGCCTCATGCTCCAGCCTGTGGTGATGTGTGCGCATCGTCTGCTTCTAAATGTCGACGCCACCATCGCCGTAGCGCCCATACTTGTAGTGGGGATCTCCGAAGACCATGCAGATGCTGCAGCGCATGCAGGGCCGACCCTCCTTGTTTTCGGAGATGAGGAGCCACGGAAAGTATCTCTGCCATTGCTCCTTGCACTTCAGCTGAAGCTCCTCAATTGACAACTCCTTGCCGATAGGGTCCTCGAAGTCTTCATCCGCGGGTACAGGCGCAACGGGTCGCTTCTTCTCTGACGGTGCTGGATGCGTCGGACCGCCCGGAGGCGACAAGTTGAGAACCCGCTGCTTGTAGGTCTTCTTTGATGACCTGTCGGGCAAGACGGGGTTAGCTCTGAGAGAGGAGGTGGTAGCGACAGAAACTGCAGGGATGTTCTTATCGGCACCGTTGTGCGGCATGCAAGTAGATACTGGCGTAGTAGGGGTAGCGGTAGATGGCATGCCATGATCGCCATTTTCCGAGATTGGCGCATCGCATACGGGCGAAGGAAACGCAGCAGAGGATGACGCAATCGGTGGGGCAACAGAATCGATATGCTTGCCCCGCGTTAGGAAATCTAACGCCGAAAACCTTGGCGCAGCAGCGCCTGGTACGGCGGTGGGGTCGGCCATAGTCTAAACGATGGGAAAGAAACTGGTGCGAGGGAGACGGTCCATGCTCGGCTGGGTGAGAGTTGAGCACGAGAAGGAGAAACAGGCTGTTTAACACGCCTCACCTAACTGCATGAAACCCCGTCATCGTGCAGCGTGAACTGAAAGGCGCTACGGGATGTGAGCTGGGGGCACCACAATTGCAGTCCAATGTTGCGTGACGTCTAGGAAACGAAAATGCGCTGGCACAACGTGACAGCGCGTTGCCGTGTCTGCGGCTGGCGTCAGCGCCGACAGCCAGCCACACGACAAACTCCTGGCAGCATATGCCGCAGATACATGACAGCAAGGCTGCTACAAGGCAGGCACATTGAATGCGCGTGCAGTAACCGAGCAGCTAAGATGCCTGTACCTGTGGGCCTAGGGTCTAGTGGGCATATGGCCTAGTGGTCCTATGGCCTAGTGGGTCAGTTTGTCGGTTTCAGACGAAACCGAACTCGATATATGGAAATTCAGACTAAGTATACTGCATGGTCTGAAAAATCATATGAACATAAACCGTTTGTCTGACTGATCAGATGAAAATAAAAACACTGTCTTAGAAATCAGATGAATAAAAAAAATCAAGTCTGAAAATCAGACTATTAGACCAAATTGGTCTAATAACAAGGGCCCTGGCGTAAAACTTTTGAATACCCTATGAGGGTTTTCATATACGCGCAATAACAGTGATGGCACCAAACATGGACATTGACATGGTGGAGTTAATCAAGTTGATCGTGTATCGATCGTGCCGAAACATGCTTCAGTATGTGATATTTCTAATTCTATAGTTAGCTTTGACATAAACCATTGGCTTCAGCTAGCCTTATTCAGTTTTTTTTTTTTTTTTTTTTTTTTTTTTTTTTTTTTTGTTGCTTATATGAACTATACACCAAATACAGAAGTGCACAACACATAAACAGTCGTAACTGTGCGCGAGAAGCAGGAAGGCCTGCCTCAGAGAATCCGATCCTCACACGTGGATCCGGGGCCTGTGTGGCTTGCCCCAAATTGCTGCGAAGCTGTTCGACCACCGCCAGCTCTTGCCATCCACTACCCGAATGCGGCTCAGAAGGCACTGCTCCTGAGTTGTCATCACGTGCCATCTGGCTTGCTGCTTCTTCCCCTTATGCTGCAACTTCCTCGCCGAGGCCCGCACGTAAACATTCACATGCATGCGCAGGGCCGTTTCGATCCTCCTCAATATCCGCCTTGTGCGGAACTTACAGCCACGGAATGCACCTTCGCACCGCTCCACCCAAAGCTGGTGCAGAGCAATAACTGTCAGGGTTGCCTCCGGAAACTCTGACGTGGACCCTGCCTTCCCAAACAACCAATCCCCGAGCGACTCCACCCGCTTGGTGGGGTTAATCATGCGCAGAGCTTTCTTCACCGCTGCGACCACCACTTGGATCCTCGGGCACTCGAAAAAACAGTGCTCCAGGGTTTCAAACCTGTCACAGTATGGACACACTGGCTTGCTGCTGAGAAAAGTAAGCCTCTCCCCGACTTGTAGATTTTAAACTGTGGATCCTTAGCAAAACATCCCTTGGCCTGCTGGGGGTGACCAGCGACTCCCGAGTTTTGACTGCCCGCTTCCAGTCTATGCGCCCACTCCATCTGCTGCCCCACTTGCTCCGCCTGGATTGCCCGCTGCTACCTTGCCCCCAGCGGGATCTGAGACTTTTCAGTTGCGCAGCTTCCCCGTTCACCAGGAGTTTTGTGCGCAACTGTTTTGAGCCCCCTCTGCCAGCCTCGTACACCTCCGCAAACCCCACCAGAGGTGGCTCGGCTGAGAGAAGCACCTCTCTCCATTGTTAGAATACTAGGAAGTGATGATGTCATTGGGTCAAGGGGGGGTACAAGAAGAATGTCGAGAGAAATATTGTACCCCCTAGTGCTAACCCCCATACAACCTAGATAACCTAAACATGCATATATTGTTTGACACACCCCCATAGGCGAAATGGGGGATAGCCAGAGCAAGCAAAGGTCACAAGACCAGACAAGAGAAGAAACAAAACACAGCTCAGGGTGGATCACAAAGTCACCACACACTCTGAGCACAAGTAAGAGGCCACAAGGCCAGTTCACATGCAGAGATGTATATGCAGCAAAGCACAGTGATCACTACCTAACAAGAGCAAGCATGCAGGTATATATGTATCGATCACAGTACAAGCAAAGTCTACAGCCTCACCGGCGAGCTCTTTCGCCACCCCAGCCATGGTATGAGTCCTTTCCCTTTGGCAAGCATGATACTCCTTAAGCTGCCGTTCCTGCTTCCTTAGCCGCTCCCTTAGCAGCTGGTCTTTGGGGTTACACATGGATGCTTGCTTTAATGCCGCGACGGATGTTGCAAGGTGAGTGATCGTCGCCCTGATCCGCTTGCTCTCTTCCTTAGCATACGCGCGAAAGCCAGCATTCAGACGGGAGATAAGAACCTCGAAACCTCCTCCTTCCCGCGCAACTTTGCGTTCCACCTCCTCCGTTAACTTCCGAACCCCTGGTCTGTGCATCATGGAAGCATGCAGGCGCCACATCCCCGGGCCTGTCTGCAGCTGCGATTTGACCTTGAAGGCGATGCAGATGGCGAAGCCGTGGTCGGACACTGGTTCATCAGGCATGACATGCGAGGCTGACACCAGGCGCGGGAGCAAGGAGCGAGAGACCAGCACTCGATCGATCCGCGTGCTTTCCTGGTGCGCCTGTGCATAGAAGGTAAATTCACGTTTAAACGGGTAAAGAGCGCGGAAAGCGTCAGCAATGTCAAAGGGTCTGCAACGCTGATAGAGGTGATCGTTCTCCCTTGTCGAGCCCTGCTTCGATGTCTTATCAAGTATGGGGTTCTCAACGATGTTAAGGTCTCCGGTTATCAGTAGGTGAGATCCCGGCGGAACAAGGTCAACTGTCGGACCAAGCACTGTCCTGATAAACGCTCGTCTAACTATCTTGTCCGAGGGGAAATACCCCGCTATCAGGGTAAGATGCAGGCCAGCGCAGTGGACTTCAGTCTTAACTAGTCTACCAGACGGGTGAGCCAGCGGGTTGTGAAAAGCGAGGTCAGTCCTACGGCTGAGGACAGCAACTCCTCCAGCACGGGTGACAGGTGTTGAGGCGGCGAAGGCGGTGAGGTTAAGGGTGGCCCAGTATGGGTTGTTTTCTCCTATCCTGGTGTCTGAGAGGATCATTACGTCTTCTGCTTTGGTGCTATATGTCCAGTCTGTTGTGCGCTTCCGTTTGTAGTTATCACCCAGGCCGTTTACATTCAGTCCCGCGAACGAGAGGATGTTGCGTGTATTCATTTAACCACTCCTTGATCGCCTCTCCGCATCCACAGGCAGGTGAAACAAGCTACAGCAACAACCAATGATCCAGCCAAGAGTAGGCCCGGGTTCCTCAAATCCTGAAATCCTTGCGGACCGCGTGCAGATTCTCCTTCTCCATTGTCACACGGGTAACAACACCCAACTCTCCTTGGCCGTGCAGATGACGAGCAGTGGTGATGTGTTCTGCAGCGGCAACAAACAGCCTCCCGTGGGCCTTCCCACAGCCTGTCTGGGTGCAAATCCATTCCTCCCTGGAGCTCCCGGTGGATATCAGAACAATGGCGGGGTCTAGACGAGGTCTCTAGCAGGATCGGTTTCACCAGTCGAGATGCGGTGAGAGATGCAGCTGCGACACGCGACCAAGGGGTTAGTAACCGAGGGAGAAGATAAGTGAGACACGGCAGTTGAGGAAATCAGCTCATTGTTACCATTGATCCTATGCATACGACCGATACTGAGACTCCACTTCCCTATGTTATTCTGTCGCTCTGTGGTGAAGACATCATGATGCTTGTCATAATGCGCACCCCCACAGAGCCGACAGGAGAGCACAGGGTAGTGGATCAGCAGCGTCTTGCCATGCTCAAGAGGATGCTTGAATTGATGGATCCAAGACCTCTTATTATCCTCCGGGTGAGGCACCACCAATCCCTTTATCACATCCGTGTCAGCTCCTGAGACCGGATGCAGCACACGATGAAAGCAGTGACCTTCCAGGAACGGCGGGACCTGTCGGATCTTCAGCTTATACTTGACCAGCAACTCCTCCAAGCCCTCCGGCGAAATATTAGCAGGTATGCCTCTGAAAACCGCTTCGATGCAGCGCGGATTGGTTGCCTTTAACCGAGTGAAAGCCAGATTCTCAGTATGCAGCCAGTGAAGTCTGAAAGAAGTGCCTTTGGCTTGCTGGTAATCCAATGTTGCCTGACGGACATTAGTTGCATCTTCTTCCTTCAGGAAAGACACTTGAAGGCGGCTGTACTTCGTCTTAGCAACGTAACCAGGTGGAAGCTCCTGAAAGTTAACTTGGGTGTTAGCACCGTCAGATAAAAGCGAGGACCAAACGCGCTTCAACAACATCTGCGCAGTTACGATGACGGAGGCGATTTCCTGTTGCAGGACGAACGGCAGCAACAGAATGGCTGTGTAACGTTTGTTGGCAATGAAGTCCTTTGTAATGTCAAAGTCCAGCTCGTCGTCAGAGTCATCGTCAGTAAACTCCTCGTCCACTTCTTCTGACGCAGAGGTAAGCGCAGCTAGCTTCTCTTCCAGCGTTAAACCAGATCCACTTGGAATAGGATCACCCTGGTTGTCTTCCATCACCTCCTTCCCCTTGTCAGCAGATTTTGCAGCAACGGCATTCTTCGGCACCAGTGGCGCACGCTCCTTCGGCGGGTTACGCGGCATGGTGCAATGATGAGTTAAATCCAGCAGATAAAGCTGATAAAGCGCAAAGGCCAGAAATGCCTGATAAGCTGGACTTCTGAGCACATTAAGTAGAAACTCCGTAGGGCCTTCTGAGGCCCAGTGTTCCTGAAGTAAATGCTGGGTTGTTGCTGATGATACCGATGGATGATGCTTGATAGCCTTGAAAGCTTCGTGTAATATCGGAAACCAATCAGAGCTTTGCGATGAGAATCCATGTGTAGCTCGCTGTGTTATCAACAGGGTGTTAGCAAATGAAGCCTTGAAACTTGTTAACTTGATAAACCAGAACAGCTGATCCCGAGAATGGACTTGTACGATGTCTGCCTGATGGACACATTGGTTGTACCAATCGATTCGTCGCGATAACGCGAGTACAATGCTGTGGTCTAAAAAGTCAACTGATACGTGTGCTTCACGGAATGCTGGATTAAAAACCCTGAGGAAATCCATGGACAGCGAGATGCTGTGTGCACGTGAAGAAAATGGTAATCATTCAGTTCATTAATGGAACACTATATAGTGTCGAGTGTGCCCATACGCGGGTGGCGCTGTGGCGGCCCCTTCTTCCCTCCTAAGTCAGCTCCAGCCTGTAGTGGAACAGCTATTTCTGAACTCAGCACACTTCGCAACCAGCAGCTGTAGCCAATGGGTTTGCGCCACAGCCTACGTCGCCAAGTGCTCAGGGTGGGCGGAAGGGACTCGGTCATCCCCTTTGCTGGGAGTGTTGCGCAAGGGACATGGTGTTGGGGTGGGATGGTGTGCATGGGGTTGTAGTAGTAGTAGTAGCGCTGGGGGTCGTGGTGACTCATTTTTCGGACCATGATAGTAACTGTAAATTCTAGACTGTTGGGGTTGTTGGGCGACAGGTTACAGGATTGGGCCCCAATGGGGGAAGCGAATGCGCGTGCGGAGCACGAGAGCGCAGCATATTGGGGGGAACCCGCAGCATGGGTGAACATGACTGCGCAGCGTTGGGGGAAACCGCAGCACGGCGGAACACGACTGCGCCTCCGCATGCTGCTGCGCTCGTCGGCGCAAAAGTCATGGGCTGAAGCTCGGGGCATATCTGCTAGTAGGGGGGATCCTCCCAGGGGCTAGGATTTAGGGCCATTTTCATTGCAACCAACCGATGAAGGTGTCACACCACGGTGGTGACTACTGACCGTCAGTGACTGACTAGGGACGGTGCACTCGCCGCTAAGCCCTAAGCTTTGTCGACTTTTGAGCTCTGAGCCTCGAGATTTTTCACCAACTGAGTTGGTGCGCCGCTTCAAAATTTGAGGTCCGAGATGCCTCCACCTGGCGCGCTACCAGTGGTAGATTTGAATGCGCGGCGCGTGCTGGACTCGGGAGCTGAGCTTGCTCCGCAGTAGTGAAGGAATATATTAGAGAGCGTAGCGATAGCGAGAGAGTCTCTGCTATGGGAATGATGTTGCGCCAGCAACTTGGTAGAGTTTGGTAGCGTTTGCCTCTAAGGACTTTGTGAGAATTGAAGTAGCATTTGGACCAAGTAGAATTGCAATATCAATTATCAAACACACAAGCAAACACAAACATATATAGGCAAGCAAGAGTTGCACAATTGTTGCGTGGCGCTGCGAGTAACCCAACCCACACGAAAGTGCTGTGCAGGTGGGTGAACGCGCCCCGCACATTTCCAACCCAACTCGGCACCGGAATGTCTCACCGTGCACGCTACTCCTGCCAACACAGCAAGTGAGCAGCGTGCCTCACAAGCAAGGCACCTACGACCCCCAAGACTCGTCATTCCTAGCACCGATTCCGCCGAGTTCGCTGCAGTAGCTCACAGTCATCCGTAGTCACTAATGACCGCCACCGAACTCGTGCGTCGGTGCCGAGTAGACTCAGTCGTTAGGCGCCGACCTGCCAAGTCAAAGGTCATCGAGGGCCCTTGCTGTCGTAGGGCCCTCTAACAAGTAGCACGGAAATTCCCGAAACTCTCAGAAATCCGGCTGTTTCACAACCCTAGAAAAAACTCTCAATTCAACACTCACACTTTTAAGAGTTTCAGCGCATTTCTGTACTTTCAGCAGCTCTAGTAGTAGTAGTTTTCGAACCGCCTCAGTCCACCCAAACTGCCAACGGCGTTGAATCCAGTGGCCCTTTCGTTCCGCCGGAAGCCCCGCTTGAAAGCCCCGCGGGCCGTTGAAAGCTCCGCGGGCCGTTGAAAGCTCCGCGGGCGGCAATTGGACCGTCTCCACCTGGCAGCTTAACATCAGAATAGCGGCGCCATCCCTCGCTGCTGCTCACGCGACACCTAAGGTGGTGGGCGGAACCCGGATCAAGCGGCTTCTAAGCAGTCTGTGCGCGCTACTAGTACAGTCAGTCTCATTCTCACTCTTTTCCCTCAGACTCAGTCTGTCGCTGTCCCATTCTCAGTGTCAGTGTCAGTGTCAGTGTCAGTGTCAGTTTCAGCGTCGTTGTCAGTTTCAGTGTCAGTGTTGGTCTCAGTCTGACTCCCACTCACTCTCAATCATGTCAGTCTCTCTCAATCTCGCTCACCCTCTCTTGGTCTCACTCTCACTCTCAATCTCACTCAGTGAAATGGTCTCAGGCTATCACTCACATCACCACAAGGTGTAGCCATGAAATTGCCCCAATGCGGTATCTCTAACTTACTAAGTGTCCCTCTAGTAAAGCTGAGAAACAAACACCATAAGTGTCCCTGAAGGCACGCCTGGCTCACCATTGGAGTCACGAGGGCCCGCTATTAGTAGACCCATTAAGACACCTTTCTAAGAGTATATTTCCAGCCTTTGCCATTCAATCAAGAAGTTCGGGGAATCCAGGACAGCAATTTTGGTGCCCCACTCTTGCTCACCTTCTTTGTTCACCTCGACTAGATGCTCCACTCTTACTCTCACCATCACTCCTACTTGCTCACTCTCACTCTCACTCTTACTCTCACTCTCACTCTCACTCACTCTCTTATCTCACTCGCACTGTGCCTCCCGCTCATTCGCACCCACTCTCTCCTACCTACTCCCACCTTCACTCCCACTCCCCCGCTCAATCCCAGTTTCACCCAGAGCAGAGCACCAATCGCCCATCAACCGCCGCGATCAGTCAAGCCAAAGAGGAGGATGCGCTCCCTTGGAGGTGCTGCGTGCCGCGCCGACTTGCCAAAGAGCATGCGCTCCCGCCCGCACTCGCCGGCGCAGAACGTGCCGCTGACTTTTCAGTCGACTCAAAAGCCGGCGCAGAACGTGCAGCTGGCGCCGCTCGCTTGGCCTGCAGGGCCGCGGCTCGCAGGGCGGCTCGCCGGGCGCCTCACAGGGCGGCTTGCACGGATCGCATGGCTCGCAGGGTGGGTCGCCGCGGGCCTGCTCGCAACCCTCGTGCCGACCAGCGCCGTCCCGATCGCTCCCTCTCAATGTGCGTGCCGTAGGGGAGGTGAGGTGAGGCGAGGCGAGGCGAGGCGAGGCGAGGCGAGGTGAGGGCGCTGGCTTCTGAGAATCCTCAAAAGCGTCCCGATCATCCCTCGCAAAGTGCGTGCAGTAGGGGAGGTGAGCGCTGATTGTGTAGTGCTCACCTTGCCGAGTTGAGGTGTGAGTCAACTCAAACGTCAATGAGGTAGGGGAGGTGAGCGAGCGCTGATTGCTGTGTTCACCTTGCCAAGATGCTGCCACGAGCATTGAGGTGTATTTTGAGGCGCCTCAAAATACACCTTAATGAGCGCTGATTGCACTGTGTTCACCTTGCCAAGATGGTGCCGCGAGCATTGAGGTGTATTTTGAGGCGCCTCAAAATACACCTTAATGAGCTCTGATTGCACTGTGTTCACCTTGCCAAAGATGGTGCCATGGATGCATGGGTGGTGATTGTGTATGTCGCGAGTATTGCGTTTCCCCACCCAACACACCGCCTTCCCCACCCAACACACCGCCTTCCCCACCCAACACACCGCCTTCCCCACCCAACACACTGCCTTCACCCCGCAACACACCGCCTTCCCACCCAACACACCGCCTCCCCCCCCCAACAAACTGCCTTCACCCCGCAACACACTGCGTTTTCCCTAGCACACCGCCTTTCCCCCCAGCCTTTCCCCACGACACACCACCTCCTCCCCCCCAACACGCAGCGCAATCTCTGAGCGACTCCCAGACAACGTGGCGCGTGGGGACAACGATGTCCCCACCGGTTTTAGATCTAAGCAGTACAGGCGGTTTTGAACTGTCTTTCTTCTGCTTTACTTTTGAGACGGTTTTGAGACGTCTCAAAACTAGTTGCCCCTACCGGTTTTAAATCTAAGCAGTACAGGCGGCTTTAAACTATCTTTCTTCTGCTTTAAGCCCGAGCTAGTCTGCTGCTCGCTGAGAATATGTCAGACGAACGTGGAAGCTGCGTGGAAGGAAGTCCCCACCGGGAGTGCTTTGCCCTGACCTTGTTGTTGCCGGCCTGACTGACTGCAACAGCTGGAGCGCCCTTGCCCAGACCTGACTATACCCCCCAACCCGCCCCCTTCCCCTCGGAACCCGCCCCCTTCCCCTCGGAACCCGCCCCCTTCCCCTCGGAACCCGCCCCCTTCCCCTCGGAACCCGCCCCCTTCCCCTCGGAACCCGCCCCCTTCCCCTTCGGAACCCGCCCCCTTCCCCCCCAACACGCCCCTTCTTCCCCCCCACAACCCCACCCCACCCCCCCCCCCCCCCCCCCCCCCCCCCCCCCTCCCCCCCTCCCGTATCCTGGCAACACGCAGTGCAATTTCTGGTTGACGCCCAGAGGGCGTGGTACGTTCTCCCCAACTGGGCCGGCCGCGCACCCGATTGCATCTCTGCAGGAGGTCTCCTTTGCGACCGGCACGGCATGATCACTCAGCTGTGAGCTGGGTGGCTGGGCGATGGGTGGTTGGGAGATGGGTGGTTGGGACATGGGTGGTTGGGAGATGGGTGGTTGGGACATGGGTGGTTGGGAGATGGGTGGTTGGGACATGAGTGGTTGGGACATGGGTGGTTGGGACATGAGTGGTTGGGACATGGGTGGTTGGGACATGGGTGGTTGGGACATGGGTGGTTGGGAGATGGGTGGTTGGGACATGAGTGGTTGGGACATGAGTGGTTGGGACATTGGTGGTTGGGACATGGGTGGTTGGGACATGAGTGGTTGGGACATGGGTGGTTGGGACATGGGTTTTGGGGACATGGGTGGTTGGGACATGGGTGGTTGGGACATGGGTGGTTGGGACATGGGTGGTTGGGACATGGGTGGTTGGGACATGGGTGGTTGGGACATGGGTGGTTGGGACATGGGTGGTTGGGACATGGGTGGTTGGGACATGGGTGGTTGGGACATGGGTGGTTGGGACATGAGTGGTTGGGACATGGGTGGTTGGGACATGAGTGGTTGGGACATGGGTGGTTGGGACATGAGTGGTTGGGACATGGGTGGTTGGGACATGAGTGGTTGGGACATGGGTGGTTGGGACATGGGTGGTTGGGACATGGGTGGTTGGGACATGGGTGGTTGGGACATGGGTGGTTGGGACATGGGTGGTTGGGACATGGGTGGTTGGGACATGGGTGGTTGGGACATGGGTGGTTGGGACATGGGTGGTTGGGACATGGGTGGTTGGGACATGGGTGGTTGGGACATGAGTGGTTGGGACATGGGTGGTTGGGACATGAGTGGTTGGGACATGGGTGGTTGGGACATGAGTGGTTGGGACATGGGTGGTTGGGACATGGGTGGTTGGGACATGGGTGGTTGGGACATGGGTGGTTGGGACATGGGTGGTTGGGACATGGGTGGTTGGGACATGGGTGGTTGGGACATGGGTGGTTGGGATGGGAGCTAGCTCTGTTTGGGCAGGGGATGATTCAGTGATGTCAGTCGTGGTGGTGGGGTGGTGATATATGAGTGGATGCGATTCAGAACTCACCACTTGTCTCTGTGCTCATGTTGATGTGTGGAGTGGAGTGGAGTGGGTGCAGGGAGCTGGCGAGCCGACGGCTGCGAGGACCCATTCCACCGTCCATCAGCACCCTCAAGAGTCTTGCCAAACTGTATGTCCTGCCATCTGCGCTTTGCCATCTGCCATGTTCCATCTGCCATGTGCCACGTGCCATCTGCCATGTTCCATCTGCCATGTGCCATGTGCCATCTGCCCTTTGCCATGTGCCATGTTCCATGTTCCATCTGCCTGTGCCATCTGTCATCTGCCATCTGTCAATTGCCAATTTCCCCTCTTGCTCTAACTTGTCCGCCCGTTCCGCAATTTGCTCAAACTTTAGCCACAATCGTCCCACCACTCGTCTCTGCTCTATCGATCAACCCATCCACCTCAACCTCTTTCCCACGTCACCCTCTTTCCTTCCCACGTCACCCTCTTTCTCACCCCACCCCCTCTTTCGTCTTTCACCTTCTTGCATCACAAGACACCACATGTTAGCTGTGTTTCGCACTAATGCGGCTACTATCCACAAACGCAGCCCACCTGTCTGCTTTTGATAGCCTTATCCGAAGGTCATTGGGTGCCTGGCCAAGATCAGCCCCAATGCAAGGGTCCGAGTATGTAGAAAGAGATTTTCAGCAGCACTGGAGACTAGGGGCGTGAGCAGCTGCAAAGTCTGCTGCAAACTCTGCTGCAAATTCGCGCCGCAGGCAATTTTCGCTTTGATTGGCCCGAACAGCCTCCCAAGTCAAACTTGTAACTTGAGCAGCAGCACCCCTGAACTGAATCCTATTGGTCGAAATCTGGGGGCTGAATATAACTTCGCCCTCCACACAACTCACCCTCTGAATCCCCCATGCCTCTCTCCGATTGGCCAATTCCACATTCGAACATTAAGGGTTCGCCCTCAGCTGCCATTGAAGAAACTTAATAAGCCGACTTGTTGACAAATACAGTAAAGAATATTAACATTCTTCACTGCACCCAACGCCACCTTGCTCACATCGTTTATCACTCCTCACCTCTCTGCTTCTCCTTTGTGTGGTCTCTGCTTACCGTCGTCAAGCCTATCAGTCTCCTCTCCTGTGCCCTTGCTTATGTTCCTTGCTTATGCGCATAATCTGATGAGTTTTGAGTCGACTCAAAACTCGACTCCTTGCAGCAACATGGCGCATAATCTGACTTTTGAAGCGCCTCAAACGCCCTTGCTTATGTTCCTTGCTTGCAGCAACATGGCGCATAATCTGCTTTCAGACATCCCCACTAGCATCAGCGCGCTCACTCAACTATATGGAATGTAAGGAGCAGCACACAAACAGAGCTCAACCTGCTTTGCATTTCAGTACTGATACCATTGCAACTCATCCGGCCACTGAATTTCAAAAGAATCGTCTCATTGGTCGATCCCCAAGATATGTTTCCAGTTAGTTTTTCCAATAAAAATCTACAGCTTCTTGTTCTCATTGTTCTCCCAAGATGAAGACATCTTCCGTATTCTCTTGTTTTCTACAACTTCCTTTTCAATACCCCACCCCTGTGCCATCTCCTATTGGCTTCTTAGCAAAAAAAGGGAAGGAAATGTTAGGAGGCCACTTTTACTATGGCTATGGCTTTCTGTTGGTGTGCACGAATCATTCCTTCTTCCAGAGATCTCTCTTACAACAAGATTTCAGGCACCATCCCTGCTGGCCTCAGTGCTCTCGACTCACTAATCTACATGTGAGTAGCATGTAGAGTGGGACAGAGTGGGACTGCTAGCAGTGTGTGTGAACCTCAACTGCATTTGACGAGGCATGAAGCTGTGAGGGGGATACTTGCAGCATGTGTGGCGTACATGCATCTAGAAGTGAGTTGTGTGTGTGTAACGAGCTCGCTGGGTGGTAGTGGTATCTCACAAGTCCTGGGATTGGTTCGATTCCCGCTCGCGCATGAAGTGGCAACTACACCAAGGTGACACCAGTTCCTTCTGTCTCGTGTTTCTTCCGTTCCTGCTGCTGTGTTCACTTTTGTGAGTGGCGCTCAAATGACAAAGGATACAGAGGTAGGCAGTAAAATCCAACTGGACAGCATCTAGTGCAATAGAACTCCCCAGCCATATCAGCCTTGTGATTCTTGGCCCAACTGACTCATTTATATGGTGATAAGTTTTTTATTAAAAGGTGATATGTCAACGGTAGACATATCAGTGAGCCTCATGCTGGTTGTGTCGGCCTCTAGGGGCATCCCATCCCATCCCATCCCATCCCATCCCATCCCATCCCATCCCATCCCATCCCATCCCATCGCATCCCATCCCATCGCATCGCATCCCATCCCATCGCATCCCATCGCATCCCATCCATCTCATTGCACCATTCAGGTACCTTGGCAACAACTTGCTCAGCGGCTCCATCCCTGCTCAGATTGGTTCCATGAAAGGTCTTAAGTACTTGTAAGCTCTACCCTTCTCCTCTCCTTTCATACTCCCCTCCTTTGCGTCTCCCCCCCTTTCTTCCTCCCCACCCCTCCAACCATCCCCCCATTCCGTGTTGTTACGCATCCCAACCTTGCGAACCGGCGAGTAGAGGCTCGTCTCCTTGTGGACTGATGTGAATCCTGCATCAGCTGCGACACGAGAACACTGTAGTGCTTGCATTGTGTGTGTGTGTGTGCGTGCGTGCGTGCGTGCGTGTGTGTGTGTGTGTGTGTGTGTGTGTGTGTGTTTGTGTGTGTGTGTACGTATAACGAACGTTGTTGTTTCCATCATATGAAATCAACGCCATCATGTGAATGAAAATAACCGCCATTGAACCACAATATGGGCTCGTCATTATGCTGTTTTTTCTTTTTGGGCAGATGAAACATTTGGCATGTGCTGAGTGTGACTATACTGAAAATACCCCAGTTTTTGGAGTTAGGCTCAAAACTGTTCGACTAGTACTCGTCACTGTTCGACTTTAAGGCTCACCCTTTTCATTCTCACCACCCTTTCTCTTCTCATTTTTCTTCGTAAAAAAAGCTTAAAGGTAGTGAGTGCTATGGCTTTGACCTTCCGTTGCTATGGCTTTGTCGTCACTCATAGGGACGAGCAGCAAGACGAAGTCCTTTCGCAAATCCATAAGAGCCTGTTGGTATAAGAAGAGATATAGATGCGGTAGGCCGTGGCGTCGTGAAGGTGACTATATCCAATCCAACCATGATGCCGGATGTTCTTCGTCTGTTTTTTGAGAATCCTGGGGAACCGTGAAGTTATCCGCAGAACCAAAGAAAAGATTCACCATGATGCTGGACCTGCTTCTTTGGTCATCAGACTTGGAACTTTGTGGTAGAGAAGTGAGGACCGAGATACGTCAGTCAGAGCGCGTTCTGGTCCATGAGTCTATGTGGTGAGTTGTACAAGTTGAACTGCCCCTACCCTATTAATGGCACGATTGTGGAAGTAGGTTGCAGAAGGCATGAGCAGGGTACCAAATTGAACCGGTCAGGTTTTATACCCTTCAAAACAGAATCGGTTTGTGAACGAGCCGTTTTTGCATACCGAACTGTTCCGGTTCGTTTTGATGGTGAACTTTCACTATGGTCGTACCAGCTTAAATTAACCATAAAATCGTTACATGGAAGGGGAAGATGTTGAGAGCATGAGACAGTTGGGGTTGAAAAGGAGCTCCAACACTCAGTTTTTTTTTGGTAAACAATGGTAACCGCATGGATTAGTCATGGTGAGCATATTATGAGACGGGAAAGTGCAGATGCTGCAGGTTGAACCCACCCTTCCTCTCTAAGAATAGATTTGAGGACCTACCCTTTGAGACATACTTGGTGCACAGCACTTCTCACCTCCTTTTCCCTTCTCACCACCATCTCTCTTCTCAAGTTCTTTCTTTGGAAAGCTCAAAGGTAGTGCTATGGCTCTGACTTTCTGGTGCCAAGGCTTTGTCACTCATGGGGTGGGGAGAGCAAGAAGATGAAGTCCTCGTAGCAGAAAGAAGATGAAGTCCTCGTAGCAGAAAGATAACAGCCTCTTGTTATGACAGCTTTGATCTTCTATGATGGCTTCGACTTTTGACTTTCTATGATGTCTTTGACTTTTGACTTTCCATGATGGCTTTGACTTTTGACTTTCTATGATGGCTTTGAATTTTGACTTTCCATGATGGCTTTGACTTTTGACTTTCTATGATGGCTTTGACTTTTGACTTTCTAGCATGGCTTTGACTTTTGACTTTCTATCATGGCTTTGACTTTTGACTTTCTATGATGGCTTTGACTTTTGACTTTCCATGATGGGTTTGACTTTTGACTTTCTATGATGGCTTCGACTTTTGACTTTCTAGCATGGCTTTGACTTTTGACTTTCTATCATGGCTTTGACTTATGACTTTCTATGATGCTTTGACTTTTGACTTTCCATGATGGCTTTGACTTTTGACTTTCTATGATGGCCTTGAAGCCATGACTTTCTATCATGGCTTTGACTTCTTGTTGCTGCTGTCCGTGCATGATGCTTCCTTCCTTTCAGAGACATCTCCCACAACCAGCTTTCAGGCAGCCTCCCTACCACCTTCAGTGGGCTCCGCAAACTCGTGTACATGTAAACATCGCAGCATGTACATCGACAGGAAATATTTTTGTTTGGGATGTCTTCTCCAAACCGATTGGTGAATGCCGGCGAGGCGAGGCGCGGCGAGTATTACCCGTTTTGTTTCTGCCTGCCTCGTCTCGTTTTCACCAACTGAGAAAGCCGGCAAGGCGAGTAATACTCATCTCGTTTTCGCCTGCCTCGTTTGAGTAACGAGGTGAGGCGAGTATTACTCGCAACGAGTAATTTCATCCCTCACCCGACTCGTTGCTCGCTAAAGAAAACGAGTGCGCTTTTCCTTGTTGCAATAAAAAAATGATACGTGGGTGGGAAGGCAAGCATTCCTCGCCTCACCCTTCAAACGTCTCTGCTCCGCGCTTGTGGGCAGGCCCTACCTCCTCCCCCCGCCGCGACCATGCATCCCCACTCGAGGTGACTTTTGGGTCGACTCAAAAGCCCCCCCTGACCATCCATCCCCGCTCGAGGTGACTTTAGGGTCGACTCAAAAGCCCCTTTCCCCCCACCATCCATCCCCGCTCCCCCACTCCTGCCGCAGGAGCCGGCGGCCGGCCGGGCCCCCCGACAGCCCCACACTCGCTTGAATGTGGCCCATCAATAACTTGGAAATTATCTGAACTTCACAGTTTAAAAGAATCAGAGAGCCAAAAGCCCTGAATCTGACCTGACGCAGAGAAGTGGGGAGAAGGTTTAAAATACCCTTTTTATCGTCAATACTCGCTTCATCAGTTTTTGGCCTTGGCCGTACCTGTCCTCAACCCTTAGCAACTTTTTTTTGAGTAAATTAAAAAAAGCCCCTTTCACCCTTCATTTTCCCTTCCACACCCACCACAGGATCTTAAGTAATAATGATCTCAATGGCTCTATCCCTTCTTGCCTCGGCTCACTAACAAATCTGGTGATCTTGTAAGCCCTTCCCTTTCCCTTTAACACCTGCATGTCTCACTGATGAGAAATCTCAAAAGCGACAAAAGCTCCCTGCATGGTTTGGCAGTTTCAGGACTTCATTTGTGCGTCCTTTAGGCATTGCTTTTGATGTAGATAAGCCGATTCCCCTTTTGTCTTCCTCTCTCCTCTGTTTTTGCTTCTCTTCACTCTTCTCTCTCGGCTGCTGCATCTGAGTGACTGGCTGCTCTTATTTCTCTCCTCTCACCTCCTCTCCTCTTCTCCCCTCTCCTCTCCTCTACTCTCCTCTCCTCTCTTCTCCTCTCCCCCCCTCTCCTCTCCTCTCCTCTCCTCTCCTCTCCTCTCCTCTCCTCTCCTCTCCTCTCCTCTCACCTTCCCTCCTTTCCCCTTCTCTCCTCTCCTCTTATCTTCTTTGCTCTCGTCTCCTCTGATTTCATCTCCTCTCATCCCCTCGCCTCTCCACTCCTCTCCTCTCCTCTCCTCTCCTCTCCTCTCCTCTCCTCTCCTCTCCTCTCCACTCCCTTCCTCTCAGTGCCTAGCCCCCTGTTGCCTGGTGTTTCGTTCGCCTTCCCTCAAACTCTCTGTTTTTTACATCACCGCATGTCTGCCTGCTCATCTGCCCGTCCATTTGTCCAATGACCTGCCCATTCACCTTCCCATTCACTGCCCAGTGATTTGCAACAAAATAACCTCATGGGGCACATTCCCGATTCCATCACGAACCTGAATCAGCTTAAACGGATGTAAGTAGAAGGCAAAACTTACTTGTAGGCAGGCTGACAGGCAGACAGGTGGGCTGGCTGACAGGCTGGTAAGCGGGCAGGCGGGCAGGCGGGCAGGCGGGCAGGCAGGCAGGCGGGCAGGCGGGCAGGCGGGCAGGCAGGCAGGCGGGCAGGCAGGCAGGCGGGCAGGCGGGCAGGCGGGCAGGCAGGCAGGCGGGCAGGCGGGCAGGCGGGCAGGTGGGCAGGCGGGCAGGCAGGCAGGCGGGCAGGCGGGCAGGCGGGCAGGCAGGCAGGCGGGCAGGCGGGCAGGCGGGCAGGTGGGCAGGCGGGCAGGCAGGCAGGTGAGCAGGCTGGGTGGGTGGCAGGGTGGCAGGTGGGCAGGCTGGTTACGGAAGTGCACATCAATCAAAACAGTCCACACTGAGGAGCTTTCAAGGGGGCCTCATGACGTTTGAATACCTTCGTTGCGCCCATCTATCACTCAAACCCCTCACCACACATCAACATGCAACATCTTCGTCGCACCCATCTATCACTCCCCTTCTCCGCACCTTGTTCCATGTATCCTCTATGTGCTCCCCCCAACTTGGATCGTCAGGGGTTTGAGTATGACTTCGCTAAGTGGGTCTATTCCTTCAGGCATTGGCAACATGAGCAGCTTGAGTCAGCTGTCAGTATATTCAGGAGATCACCTTCCCTTGTCAGCTGAAGTGCTGTTAGCTTTCACATGTTTTTTAGCTATATTGGGCATTAGAAAAACCTCTACATCACACGTGCATCGTTGGGGCTGTCCCATTGGCGGTGAAAATGCCAGATCTGTGCGGGTTGGTGGCAAAAGGAAAACAAAAAGAGGGACTGTAAGGCAATGTGATGGGGTCAAGGGTTGGGTTAAAAAGAAACTATTAACCACTATATATTCAATACACACACACATGCACGCACGCACGCCCGCCCGCCCGCACGCCCGCCCGCACGCACGCACGCACGCACGCACGCACGCATGTATGCACACATACAACAATTGTCCATCATCTGGTCCATCCAACACAACGGCCTTCCAAAATTGTATTAATCATTTAGAACTAATAAGCTGGCCACCCCAACCTATTAGTCTTTTGCTGCTAGAAAGGCATTAGATTCCCGAGTCATTCGTGCCTTCTGGTGTTGTGTTTGCATACGTCAATTCAGGTATCTCTATGAAAACAATCTGTCAGGGCCCATCCCACCATCCATCAGCAGCCTCGTTAACTTGGAAAAGTTGTGAGTTTCTAATTTGACCTGGCGAATCTGTTGTGTGCTTGGAGTGTGCAACTGCACCCGGGGTCCAGAGGGTCTATTCCATCCAGCATGTACGACACGCATCATAGTAAAACTATTAACATAAGGGTAAAACTGTCAGCACAAGATATATTACTGTCACAGATTCTCTGACATGATGTTGTTTAGGCTCATTGCACTCCTTCCGGTGTTGCGCTTGCTGATGTGAATTCAGGTATCTCTATGGAAATAGTCTCTCAGGGTCCATCCCACCATCGATAGGCAGCCTCGTTTACTTGAAAAGTTTGTAAGCTGCTGATATGACCGGGTGCATTTGCTGTGTGCTTGGAGTGTGCAACTGCACGCGGAGTCAGATTCATTAAAAAGAAAATAAAAAAATGTTTTTTTACACCCAGCATTTGCATCTTAAGAAAATACTGTGGCATAAGGGTACCACTTTCGTAGGGTTCTGGACTCATTTCACTCCTTCTGATGTTGCGCTTGCTGATGTGAATCCAGGCTTCTCCACAGGAACAACCTCTCGGGGACCATCCCACCATCCATTGGCGGCCTTCTCAAATTGCAGAATTTGTGAGTTTTTCTATCACGGCGTGTAACATGTTTGTTTGTCCATATCAATGGGACCATCCCACCATCCATTGGCGGCCTTCTCGCATTGCAGCAGAACTTGTAAGGTTTTCTATCACGTCGTGTTTGTTTGGAATGTGCAACTGTGCCTGCTGGGGACAAGTCCCATCCAGCATGTTGGGAGACAATCACTCAGGCTCAGAACGTGCAATGCAATGCAATGCAACCACAGCCTTGAAAACCATCAAGGTGACTTTTGAGTCGACTCAAAAGTCACCAAGTCCCATCCAGCATGTTGGGAGACAATCACTCAGAGCGTGCAATGCAATGCAACCACAGCCTTGAAAACCATCAAGGTTGGGAGTGGATGTGTTACAACAAGCCTTGGGATATGGTTGTATAGTTTTTCTAGAATTCGCAAAAGTGGTCTCGTATCCGCCACCTCTCGTTGTCTCCTGTAGAATCACCACTTGCCGCCATTCTTGCAACCCTCTCCATGGCAGGATCACCTGGGGCACCAGCCTCACATGTCCGGCCAACTACACCAGCTGTGTGCAGAAGCAGAGTGCTGAAGCCCTTGAGGCTTGAGTCGACCCAAAATTAATATTTGCTGTTTTTTTTGCAACCCTCTCCATGGCAGCACCACCTGGGGCACCGGCCTCACATGTCCGGCCAACTACACCAGCTGTGTGCAAAAGCAGAGTGCTGAGTCGGCCTTCTGCCGCACGTGCCCTCACTTCTGTGCAACCTGCCTGAATGCAACAGGTCAGCGCAGTGCAGTACTGCGTGATTGTACTAAGAAGAAAATAAGAAGAACGAACAATACAGCAGCCAGTTCTGCCCAACTGGTGGTTCACTTCACAGGTCAGACACGAAAATTGCTTATTCACCAGAACTATAAGAACTCCATGAGACACTAAAATAAGTAGCAAATAGAGTTAGACATGCGAATAGTACCGAACCAAAGCTTGGTACGGTAGAACCGGTCCAAGGTGAACAGCACCGAACGTGTTTTCTTTTATCATAACGGTTCGACTCGAAGCGCTGTAGCTCGAGTCGAACCATTTGGTTCGGTTCGTCTTGGGCTGCCGAGCCGCATGATTTTTGAGTCGACTCAAAAGTCAACTTGGGCTGCCGAGCCGCATCAAACTGAATGAACCTTAACCTTGAACCAAGCTTATTTGCCTTCTACTCGAGCCGAACCAGTGTCGGTTCGACCAGGGGGGCAGTTTGACCCGGTTCGACCCGAACTGGTTTGAGTTCGGTACTTGCTCATGTCCAGATAGAGTTTTAGCACACTTGCTCCTTCAATTACTATATCTTCTAAGTTGCCTAGGCTGAGTTGAGTATACACTCCAAGCTCAGTAGCCTCAAGTGACATTCTTGACCTTGTTTCTCTGGACCTGCTTATGAAATTTCTCAAGTGCGACTGTCAGCTCAGAGTATCTGAGCTTGTTTTTGCTTTTCAGTGCATTGAGTTGATTTTTGAGGCGCCTCAAAAATCAACTCAATGCACTCAAAAGCAGAAATTTCTCAAGTGCGACTGTCAGGTCAGAGTATCTGAGCTTAATTCTCTGGACTGCCCGCAACTGCCCCCCCAACCCCACCCCAGTGGCACCACCACCAACAAGCCCCAACACCACCATTAGCACCAACACCACCACCAGCACCAGCACCAGCACCAGCACCAACAGCAGCAGCAGCAGCGAGTCGGAGGCAGCAGCTTCTGGAGGGAGCAGTGGCGTACTGCTGGCAGCAATCATTGGCGTTGTTGTTGCTGCTGTCGTGCTGCTGCTGCTGCTGGCTGCTGTGCTGCTTTACCTCAGGCACAAGCAGCAGCAGGAGCCAACAGGTGGGAGCAAATATGCTGTTACTTCGCCAATTCTTGAGTGGGTTTTGAGTCGATTCATAAATCAACAGGTGGCAAGGAAGATCATGTTTTTCTTAGCCGGCTTCTGTTTCCTGCTAACCAAGACGACAAATGCCGTGCAAGCTTTTACCGCATCCTGTGTGTGCCTCTCGTTCATTGACCCATTGCCCGATAATCCTCACCAATCAACCATCATCATCTCCCTCTCTCACCCCTAACCGTCACCCACACTCAACCCTCACCCCTCAACCCACAAGGAGCCATGGCTAGCAGTTTGGCAGGATTAAAGAGCGTCGAGTTTTCTCTTGCTGAGGTTTTAGCGGCCACCAACAACTGGTCAGCGGAGAACCAGCTGGGGTCGGGGGCATTTGGCGACGTGTACAAGGGGGTGTCTCCACGCGATGGCACCACTGAGTGGGCTGTGAAGCGCGCCAAGCTGGTTGATGTTGACTTCCAGCGCGAGGTGAGTGGATGGCTGAAGACGGGTGTCTGGTCTGGTGCGTGTGTCCACATCTGTTCTAAACATATGCATGCACGCATGGCGCCGTCGAGCGGGCTGTGAAGCGCACCAAGCTGATAGATGTTGACTTCCAGCGGGAGGGGAAGCCACGCTGATAGATGTTGCGTTTGTTGGCAACATGGTTAAAGGTTGCATACGTGTGCTCGGCTACGTTGGCAGATACGCCCTTGGGGGGTGGGCTTATTGCGTATATACGCTAGCGTATGTACGAAATTCGCTAATACGCCTGGAAATCGCTAAAATACGCCAGGGCAGCCCGTAAAAAAAAAAAAAAACTTCAAAAACTTTTGCGAGAATTTGCGACGGCGAGAATTGAACCCTCGACCTCGCACAGCACCCAACCCCTGTCTGCAATTCGAATTTTAAAATCCAACCCCTCCCACATCCCCAACCACACACCACCCCTCTCAACCTCCCAAACCCAACCTCCCCCCTTTCACTCGTTCGAACATCTCCTCAATCCCTAAACAGCTCGTTTCATTCAATCCCGCATTTCTCTTCTTGCATTTCATCCAACTCTCGTCGAGCTCGAACTCTCCTAGCTTTAGTACTTCCTCGCCATGGCGACCTCTACTCCCTACAGTTCGAGGGCGGAACCTGCCCGGGAAAAAAAATTTTCCTGCCCGCCCCAGCGTATTTTAGCGTATCAGGAGTACGCCAGCCATGGCGTATGGCGTATATACCCAGCGTATAATACGCTAGCGTATTATACGTGATACGCCGCGTATCTGCCAACGTAGGTGCTCGGTCCACATCTTTATTTATTATACATGTGCTATGCAGACATGCAAACCTGCCGTGTCATGATCGATCTCAACTATGGATTCTGCTACATGAACTTATCTCAGCAATAGTTGTGCGGTGCGGTGCTTCTGCATACTCGTCACATGCGTGAGATGCCCGTTGTTGTGTTGTTTGCGCTTCTCAACGCCCCTCAGGTCCTGCAAATGTATACGTATGTCATGCATACATGCAAACTCGTCGTGTCATGTTTTATCTGAACTATGCTTTCTGCTCTTTTCGACGCCCCTCAGGTCCAGCAAATGGCCGACAAGAACCATCCCAACATCGTGCGGCTGCTTGGGTTTGCTGTGCGGGGAAACACAAAGGCACCCCCAGAGCAAGTGCTCATCTACGAGTTTGTGTCCAACGGTGACCTTGAGAAGTGGCTGGACCCAACGAGTGAGTTAAATTTTGTTTTTTAGGCGTCTCAAAAATCGCCTTTTGAGGCGCCTCAAAAGGCACCCCCAGAGCAAGTTCTCATCTACGAGTTTGTGTCCAACGGTGACATTGACAAGTGGCTGGACCCAACAAGTGAGTTTGCACCCGAAGCCCATGTGATTATCATTACCACATGCCATGACTGTGTGCCAAATGACATGCCCATGATGTCATGTCACGTCCCTAGTGCCGTGTGCCTAATGCCATGTGCCATGTGCCATGTACCGATGCCATGCCTGATGCCATGTGCCTGATGCCCCCTCCCTCCTGCAGAGGCGCCATCCTCACTGACCCTGCCACAACTGCTGGGCATCCTGATCGGGGCGGCGCGCGGCTTGGAGTATCTCCACAGCTTTGGCTTCGTGCATCGCGACATCAAACCCGCCAACATCCTCATCACCGCCCACATGCAGGCAAGCCCCCAACAAGAACAACTAGCATATTGAAATCACATCTGATGAGTCTATATTGAGTCGAATGGAGCATCGCGACATCAAACCCGCCAACATCCTCATCAGTGCCCACGCAGGCAAGCCCCCAACACGGAAATAAGAATCACTTGAATCACCATGAATTGACTGGAATAGCGTGTTCACTGACATCAAACCCGCCAACTTCCTCACCAGCGCCCACATGCAGGCAAGCTCACAACAAGACAGATAGAAAGAACAGCTTCTCTATTGTATTACAGCCACATTTTGCTTGTCAGCAGTCGACTCAGACGGCGAGCGTAGCGTCATCAAACCCGCCCATATCCTCATCTGTGCAGACATGCAGGCAAGCTCTGAACCAGAAACCAGTGACGGATAATGAGCCGATTTTTGCTCGGTTGAAACAGACTACCCTCAGCTGCCCAGGTCCCTGTCTGTCCTGTGTAACTGCAAGTAAATTTTGCTGGATGGCCTTTTTCATAAAGATCGTGACGAAACATCTTGTTTTATGTCTTACATTGTGAACAACACATACATACCTTTTTAACATGCGCATAGTATCAAAGCGTGTGCATGTGTGTGCGGGTGCGTGCATGCGTCTGTGCGTGCGTGCGTTGGTGCGCGTGTGGGTGCGTGCATGTGTGTGCATGCGTGCGTGCATGTGTGCACGTTTGGCTGCTGAGGCATGCGGAACCGATCTGGTTCGACACCTTTTTCGGTTCGTTTTAAAACGAAACGTGGAAGCCCATCAGCTTGGCCCAGACGGGCTGGACACGAAAGGGTTTTATGCGGAGTTGGCGCTCGTCTTGAAGCTCCAAGTTCCTCCTTACCTAATTTCGTAGCCCCCCTTACCTTCATAGAGGGCTTCAACGCTGGAGCTTCACCACCGTTGTTGTGCTAGGGAGAATTCATGTGGCAAACAAACTGGATGGTCGAACTGAATTGGATTGGTTCGAGTCAAACTGCAGTCAGCCCGACTCCAAGTGTTACGAATCCTGGATTTCTGCCCTCTCCATTTCGGTTCGAATTAAACTGAACTGGCTCGGTTAGACCAGGCAGCCGGTTCGGCCAGGCTCAGACTGAATTAGTTCAGGTTTGGCACTTGCTAATGTCTACTCCAAGTTCTTGTTTTGTGAGTTAGATGCACTACTAAGTCCCTATAATGCATGCAATGTTGAATGATGTATAGCTTCCTCCCATCCAATCCAGTACACCACCTTCGTCTTTCAACCCTGCTATAACAAACTCTTCATTTCCCAGGCCAAGGTTGCAGATTTTGGATTGATAAGGGAGGGAGAGGGCGCGACAGTGCATTCTACTCGCGTGGTGGGAACACCAGGCTATGTGGACCCAGTTTACTTCAGAACGTCTAAGGCAACCACGGCCACTGATGTTTACAGGTACTTGAGGGAGGATGAGAGGATGTACACAACAAGCCAGATTATTACCCCGTGCTCATTCTCGTTTTGGAGTGCTGTTGGCTTCTTTGTTCAATCATTTGTTAGGATTGATTTTTCAATCACTTGTTAATAGTGCAGACTGGCATGCATTTATCGCTGCAAATTATCGTTCTGGAGGAGGTAGGTGTCATAAGACTAAGGTAGCTGGTGTACGACAAGTGCATACCCTTTTCACATCGCAAGCACGGCATGAGGATCGTTGTAACGCTGCTCAAGCCTTCCCTGCCATGATGACTTCAGCACGTCTCCCTCTCCCTCTCGCTCACCCTGGCTTCAGCTTTGGAGTTCTTATTATAGTTGTGCTCACAGGACGTGCTCCAATTGAGGAGGCTCCAGGGAGAAGGAGGCACATTCTACATTGGGTAAGCACCACCACCACCACCACCACCACCACCACCACCACCACCACCACCACCACCACCACCACCACCACCACCACCACCACCACCACCACCACCACCACCACCACCACCACCACCACCACCACCACCACCACCACCACCACCACCACCACCACCACCACCACCACCACCACCACCACCACCACCACCACCACCACCACCACCACCACCACCACCACCACCACCACCACCACCACCACCACCACCACCACCATCCACGAGGTGCCAAGCTTCACTTCCATGAATATGTACTCTCTCGACAGCAATTTGCAAGGCCTTGCTTTGCTTTGCCACTCGTGTGCCTCGTGTTCCTCACTTCCAACTCCTGCCCTCCCTTTTCCGACCTCCTGCATTCTAGGTAAACGAGTGTCTGACCGAGGGGAACACGGAGGGCTTGAAGGACCCCAACTTGGTCGCTCCAGAGGAAGTGTTGCTGCGCCTCACTCAGCTGGCTGTGAGCTGCACGGTGGGGCGCACGGCAAGCCGGCCGACAATGGGAGACATTGCCAATGAGCTGCAAGCGATTAGGAACGAGTTGGTGGGGAAGGAGGAGGTGAGTGCGGCGGTGAAGGTGGATGAGGAAGAAGAAGAAAGGAAGATGGCGTTCATTATGGTCAGAAGCTTGGAGGAAGAAATAGCCCGCATCAGCAACGGCAACTTTGCGTGATCGAGTTGTTGCTATTGTTGGAAAATGTTTAGTATAGACCTAACATTTTTATTAGTTCTTCACTGTAGACTTAACGATTGTTTAATAGTTAGCACAATACAGCACCTCTTCAATAGCTACGTACGGTACTGCAACTTTGTACGGTAAATGTTTGCTCTTGTTGTGATGTATCTGTCTGAATGGTGAATAGCCAGCAAGTGATGTAGCAGTCGTGTACCTATCTAGGTGATGACTCCATAATGTGAACATCGCCACTAGAATTTCGAATTGGTAAGATAGCTAAGGGTAATTGTCTCTGCAATTGTATGGTAAATAGTTGGTTTCAGCAAACGGTATTAGCTTCATTTGGAAAACTATATAGAATAAAGTGTGCCAATGAGAGAGTTGTGCTACGACAGCTTCAAAGCAAGCTTTTAGTGAGGAACACTCGGAATCCATGTAATTGTTTCCTCTGCTCGAACTGCAACTGCTATTTCTGCATGGCAGCTGTAGCCAGTGGGTTTGCTTGCGCCACGGCCTGGCTTCAGCCAACAACTCACGAGGAAAGTCGTTCATCCCCTTCGCCGGGAGTGTCGCGCAAGGGACATAGTGTCAGTTTGGGATGTTTTGCATGTTGCTGTAGCGCTGGGGGTCATGAAGACTCATTTTTCGGACTTCATGATAGTAACGGGTTTATCGATGGACGGTTGTATCATTGGGGGAAAACCATTGCACGGTGAACACGAGTCTGCTGCCGCCGCGCTTGATGCGGCGCAGTATTCCGATTGTTTGGGCTGAGCGCGGAAAAAGATATGGTAGGGGGGAAGCATAGCACCAACTGATGGTGACTGACTAGGGCTGGCGCACCCGCTAGCTTTGACGTCCGAAATATGAAATGCGCGTGCTGGAATCGAGAGTTGAGCTGACTCCGCAGTGGCACGAGAAATTCCGCTGTACAACCCTAGAAAAAACTCAAATCTCGATTCAACGCTCAGCGTTGTGAAACTCACAACTCTTGATCTTCAGCGCATTCCTGTACCTCTAGTAGTGGTTTTCACACGTCTCAGTCCACACAACTGCCAGCGGCGTGAGTCCCGCGGCCCTTTCATTCCGCCTGAACTCCCGGCTTGAAAGCTGCGGGCCGTTGAAAGCTTCGGCGGCATTGGACCGTCTCCCGCCTGGCAGCTTAACATCGGCGCCATCCCTCGCTGCTGCTCACGCGACACCCAAGGTGGACGGAAGCAGGCTAAGCGGCTACGCAGCCTGACCGGCGCGCTCACTCTAAGCAGGCTACGACAGTTAGTCTCAGTCTCACTCGTCACACTCAGTCTCAGTATGTCACTGTCCCATCCTCAGTCCCAGTGTGAGTGTTAGTCTCAGTCTTAGTCTCAGTCTTAGTTTGTCAGTCTTAGTCTCAGTCTTTGTCTCAGTTTTTGTCTCAGTCTTTGTCTCTGTCTTGGTCTCAGTCTTGGTCTCAGTCTTTGTCTCAGTCTCACTCTCCACTCTCGATCACCCTCTCTTAGTCTCACTCTCAATCTCATTCTCACTCTCACTCTCTGTCTCACGATCACTCACATCACCACAATGTTGTTGTCAGGGATCCGTCCCGTGTGGTATCTCTAACGGCAAAGGCAGAGTACCAATACCATGAGTGTCCTGGTCACAAGGGAAGCCTGGCCCCATCGGGTCACAAGGGCCAGGGCCACCCATTACTAGTAGCGCCTCAAGACACATTTGGGATATGCTCCCAGCCTTCTTTAACTTCGGGGGAGGACAGCACTCTCTTAGGCTCACTCTCACTCTCGTAGTCATTCACTCTCCGTCTCGGCCCACTCTCTTCGTCTCACTCACACTCTGCCTCACCTTCACTCACAATCTCACTCTCGCTCGCACTCTTTCTCACCCTCACTCGCAAACTCTCTACCAGTCCCACCCTCACTCGCAAACTCTCTACCAGTCCCACCCTCACCCACTCCCCCTTTCAATCGCAGTCTCACTCACAACCATCGACTGCCATGGTCGCTCCAAAGAGGATGACCGCGGCGGCTGTGGCGGCGGTGATGGCGGCGGCGGGGCTGATGGCGCAGCGGCGGCGGGCGCGGCACGCCCCGCTGACCCCGCTCGCCTGCCTTGCAGGGTGGCTCGTGGCGGGCCTGCTCGCGCCCCTCGTGACGACCAACGCCGGCCCTCTCCACTCCTCGCAAGGTGAGTGCTGCGGGGGAGGTGAGCGCTGAGTATACCGCGCTTCCTCACCTAGAAGGGAGTGGAGTCAGAGGTGGTGTAAGAAAGTATCTGCTACAGGTGACCTTTGCGCCAACTTGAAGGTGTACTTTCTTCTCCCTCCCACCTCAACACATCGCCTTTCCCACCAACACGCAGTGCAATTCCTGAATGACTGCCAGCGTGAGTGGAACGTGAGTTTTGGGGACTTGCACACAACCGACTGCCACGAATTGTACAGCGTCACATGCGACGAGCACGGCATGATCACCGAGCTGTGAGCTGGGAATTGGGACATGGATGGCTGGGCGTTGGGTGGCTGGATGGAGGTGGGTGGTTGGAACATTGGTGGTTTGGACGTGGGTTGTTGGGACATGGGTAGTTGTTGGGACATGCATGGTCGGGGCATGAGTGCTTGGGTTGGGACATTGGTAGTTGGGCGATGGATGGTTGAGACATGGGTAATTGGGAGATGGGTGGTTGGGACGTAAGTGGTTGGGACGTGGGTGGTTAGGAGATGGGTGTTTGGAACATAAGTAATTGGGACATGGGTGGTTGGGAGATGGGTGGGTGGTTGGGTTGGGGGTTGGTTGCTAAGTTGGTCATTTACGTTCACGTTTACGTCGTTTTACGTTACATACGTGTACGGGTACGTACGTTTACGCAGCTGTTGGATTGGAGGCCTAATGTACGGGGAGGGGAAAACGTTTCTGGGCTGCCCGAATATGTAAAATGTTTCCATAGTACTCCCTTGTAATCATGATTTCCTTCACTCATTCGGTTCTTCCGCTTCCTGGCCATCAACATATGCCTCATCAAAGATGTCGTCATCGAGAGGCCCGTAGCTGTCAGTAGGTTCCTCCTTAATTTGGACCACAAGAAGCTCACTTACCACTAACTTCTTAGCAAAATCCTCGTTCAGCTTCTTCATTGTGTGATAGTTGTGGCTGACGTACACCAGGTCGGCAAGGCGTTTCGGTCCAAGGCGATTACGATGAGCTGTATGGATTGACTCCCAAACGGCCCAGTTAGTCTCGCAAGTGGAGGCCGAGACGCATTGCTTGAGGACTCTCCTTGCAAGCATGGAGAGGTGGGGCACGTCGGTGCCATTGAATTCCCTGCCCGGGACACCGTATTTTGAGCGTATGGAGGGGGCGGAAATCCATCGTACGACGTTCGTACGTTGGCGTATAGTACGAACGCGACTGGTACGCCAGTCGCGTATATTGCAACATAGGTAAAAAATTATGGGAGTAGGCATGAGCAGGGTACTGTAGAGTTGAGCAGATGCCCCGTTCGGGTCGGGCTGACCCGACCCGACCCGTGGTTTTGCCCGGGTCGGGTCAAGGTTTCCGAAACCCTGCCCCGTACGGGCCGACCCGACCCGACCCGGGTAGAAGCCCGACCCGAGGGCTCATTTCGGGTCGGGTCGAGCCGGGTTTCGAGTCGGGCCTGACCCGACCCGATTTCGGGTCAGAAATGACGAAATCGGGTCGGGCCAGGTGCGCGACCCGATTTCGACATGGTTAGGGCCGAAACCCTAGAACAAATGTAAATCGAGGGGATTTTTTCTCCGTCGATTTCATTTCGCCACGCCAGCAGCTAGAGGACTTAGAGTAATAGCTAGCGTTCCGTAAACTACCGCATACCTTAGGATTCCCCACACGACTGCAAATACTTTAAGTTTCTTGCCTAGATGTACAATTCTGGCTGCAAATAGTCCATTTCACGCTTGTCAATAGACCAGTTTTTCTGCCACCTTGGATCTAGCGCAACCTCTAGTTTGCTTCCACCGCGCTACATACGTGGCACGCGCGCATTTAGCCGCAACCGCAGCTCGATTTCACATAGGTCAGCTCGGCCGCTTGCACTGTGACGGGGAGTCCGCGAGCACACGTCGAGGCGCGTGGTGGTGGTAGACGCCCCATGTATTACCAAAATATATTAAAAACAAGTATAACAGAGAAATTGCACAAATTGTGATGAACACCCCCAGCCCCCCCTAAAGGGGCGGGTCTACCTGGCCCGACCCGGCCCGACCCGAACCCGGGTCCCCTTTGACCCGAGTGAGTAGGCCCGGGTCGGGCCGGCTGTTTCAAGAATCTGGCCCGAGCCCGGCCCGACCCAACCCGACCCGAGAGCCCGTGTGGCCCGGCCAAGTCGGGTCGGGTCGGGCCGGGTCGGGCCGGATGCTCAACTCTAGGGTACTGTACCGAACTGGCTAAAAAAAATAACAAACTTTGTGAGGCTATGACAGAGTGAACGCTCGAAATGAGCTCCAATGCTTGACCAAGGTCGGTTTGTTTTTGGGTTATATTCGAATTTGCATGACCATTGTCGGTTTGTCGCGACTCGGAAATTTGTCGGAAGCCGCACGAACCGGCGAACCGGTTCGGTAACGAACCGGTTATGTTCGGTGAAAAACGAACTGAACTGAACCAAACCGAACCGCGGTTCGGTTCCCAGCTCATGCATAGTTGGGATTTTGTGGCAAAGAATGAGAAAAGTAGGGGATACAATTCTTATAGGTTAGAGTCGAGCAAGTGGTGATGCTGCTGCGAGAGGTGGACGCCACTTGAGGTCATGGAGAAAAAAGATGTCATGATGTTTCGGGTTGAGGAAGCATGTGGGATATGGAGAAGGAGACGCATGGGATTGCTAAAGTTGTGCAGGACAGGTGGAATGACAACATCACCTGTGCAATCCATGTCGTTTTCCGAATTATGTACTTGCCGAACCAGTGAGAGAAGATATTCAATGTGGGAATCGAGTGCTCGAGCATCCTTGGACAACTTATCAAAGATTACTATCACTGAGAGGAGCTGGTGGATGAGGACGGTGACGCCAAACCTATGGCGACTATGGCCGAGGAGTTGTGGAACTACATTTGTGGCAATGGAGAAATTGTGATAAAAAAGCATGTGATGAGTATGTGGTCATAAAACCGGGTAAGTTCGATCTTGTCCATAAAAAAAACATGTGATGAGCACGGAAATGATTGTCCTAACTTCTCGAAGCTCGCATCCAGGCTGCTGAATGGTGTGCCTCCACATGAACATGCAAGATCAACTGGTTGATTTGAAATTATGTCTGCACTATTCGTCGCGATCAAGTTGGTCTCCAGAAATTGGCGGAGCTCGTACACCCAACTACAACACAATAGGTGCGCAATATGCATCACTACCAAGCCAAGAGTCGGATAGTGACGGATGATGACGGAAGATACGGCAGGTGGAGGAGGAGGAGGTCAATGCTTACGAGTCACTTGATGACGGCGATCTCGAGAGTTGTTGCAACAAGGAGGCTATGATAATGTGTAATTTATTATGGGTTTTGTGTTGGATGTCCACATTGATTTTACCGTACATGAAAGGAAAAAAAATGGCAGCATAAAATACATACTACCGACAACCGTATACTTACCTCAGTAGGTCATAGGTAGCGTAAAACGTATGTAAATGTAAGGGTAAATATCCAGCTAAGGTTTCAACGGTTGCAACTCCAGCAAGGGAGGCACCCGAGATTGCTTGCCCTACCGTGCTTGCTCTCCGCCTAGGCTTGAGCAAGCAAACGAACACCTGTTCGGTTCGCCGCGAAATGTTTTTTTTTTTGCTAAAAATGTTAGTGGCGAACGTGTTCGGTGTTCGCCCGAACACGTTCTTGTTCGCCTCGTCGCGGGTGCCCGAGCCGCGACGAACACGAACACGTTCGTGTTCGTATTGGGGCAAGAACGAACACGCATGTGTTCGTCGCGACGTTCCCGCAATCTGAAATTTAGGTCGCGGGACAAACTGTTTGAGCTCAAATTTGAGCTCAAACATAGTCGCGCTATGCAGCAGCAGCCATTACTACCACTCCCCCCACACATCACGCCATTAACACCTCTTCCAACAGGACTTAGCGAAAATAGTAAGTCTACTTAGGTTAGTCTAGTCTAAGGATGACTGGCGCCATAACACTACAAAGCTGAAAACCCAACATTGAATTTGCCCAATTTCACAATCCCTCTGATGTGATTATAAAGAACGGTGTCCTCGGGGCGACGTGTTTGCCACGAACACGTTCGTATTCGCCTGCGCCAGCAAGGTGTTCGCCTTCACAGGCGAACAGCGAACAGCTTTTTTTGCTAAAGCTGTTCGGCGAACCGAGCAGTGTTCGGTTCGCCGAACGGCAGTGTTCGTGCAGGGGCGAACGCGAACACGTTCGGGTTCGCCTCTTGCTCAACCCTATCTCCGCCCCTGCACCTGGCTCGCGATTGCACAGACCGCCGCTCGCGTGTCTTGGTGCGCGTTGCACTGTCTGGGCGCTAAACCTCAAAATTAACCCTCCTGCAAGCGGGGTTCACCACTCTTTCGATTTGCCTAAGGTATGCGGCACGAGAGGTGGTGCCGCGATAAGGTGGCAGGGCGCGCTTCGTTAGGGACAGTCCTAGGGGCGCAAATGAGCTGGTAGGGGCTCGCGTAGCTGGTGGGAGGAGGGTAGCTGCCTTGTACTTGCATACTGTGAGCTGAAGTAATTATAGTTACTCCGGAAGAAAGTGCGGTTCGAAATGTGGACCCCCTGGTTTGAAGGCGGATCGTGGGGATGCCATTAAATGGGTCGGACTGACCTTAGGGGTCATCACCTGACTTCAAAAAACGAAAGCTGGGTTTTATGCCGATTTGACTCGAGCCCTGCAGCCCGACCCGAGACCCCTAGGTCGGGAAATCGCACCAGTGACCCGACCCGGCCAAAACGCGGGTCAAGTCGAGTTGACCCGACTTGATTGGGCCATTTGCTCATGTCTAATAAAGTATTTTTATGGTACTCAGGTATATAAAGTGTTTCCATGGTATGTACTCTTGAAATTTGCATGCTAGGTGGAATACCTTCGTTTTGGTACCTTTCTTGTCATGCCATGAACCTACATTGTCTTTTTCTACTCCACCCTTTTCAAAACATCAGCATTTTTGTAAGGAAAAAATCTTCTCCTTATTGGGTTTTATTGCTTTGCGGCGGAAGTACAGGCTTGGCCAAATTCCTCGAATACCGAGGCTTGCTCTCATCGCCTTCGATTTATCCTCACCTAAACCTCGCACGTCCAAGGTTCCCGCCTAGCTAGGATTTCCCCCCTATACCATCTCATGACTTTCATTTCATTGTCAGTCCATATTGTCATAGGTTTGTTATTCGTTATTATAGGGACTCTCTTTGAAGAACTCATAACACTTACCTATTCCACCCAACTTTTCCAATATAATTTAGTGGCACGGGTATGGTTGGCACAGCGGGTTATAGAGCGGTTGACTGCAAATATTATTGAACTTGCCCGATTTCGATAGTGATTGTGCTTGCACTAATGCTGGATAACCATGAATACCCAGATGCCCATCTCGCTGAAACTTCGACCGCGATACTGTGGACCATTCTGCATTATCAAGATGATTACTCCAGTGACATCAAACTTGTTGCTACCCTGTGACAGGAGTGTTCACGACGCATTTCACGATGCTCTTGAAAGTCCAGGCTCGGCCGAATTCTCGAATACCGAAGCTCTTTTGCGTCGCCTTCCGTTTATCATCCGCCAACCTTTACCCAAACTTGCACCTCCGAGGTTCCCGTCATCTCGTCACTTTCATTGTTCGTCTGTCCGTATTTTCAGAGGTTAAATATTTGTTATTCTGCGCACTCTCTTTGAACAGCTCATAACAATTCTCCTAGTGTTTCCCCTGTATTTGCATGCTTCCTCTCAGTGTTTTCATGGGCGGCAATGTTTCAGGCAACATCCCTGCTACTGTCAGTGCTCTCTCTCAACTCACTCGTATGTGAGTTATGCATACACGCGAAGAGGGTAAGGAGGTAAGTGCGTGCGACGTAGGGCAGTCAAAATTAGTGTGACATGATAAATTGTGCATTCATGTGCAACTAGGTCGGTAGGCACGTGAGTAGGAAGGTAAGTAGGAAGAGAATAAGTGCCGTAAGTATGTACAAAGGTAGTTGCCATGACTGCAGCAGCAGCCTAACCTCCCATCTAGGAATGGGCAATGGGCGAACTTGAACATGTTTGGTTTGAACCATCTCGAACGCCTTGCCAATGTTCGGTTCAAGCACCCCTCTCCCCCAACCACAGCCCCATCGCCCCCGTCCACAGCCCCCCAACCGCCCTCCAGGTCCTCCTCCTTGAGCCTCTCCCCCTCCTGTGCCATTGCATTTCAAACTCGACATGGACATGTTCGTGTTCGACGCAGATCGAGTGTTTTTGGCGAACACTCGAACATGTTCGACCCAATTAGTATACTGCTTGGGTATAACATTTTTTGTCAAAAAAATAACCACTGTTTGGTTCGCGAGTTGTACCAAACAGGGGTTCGCCCATTTGCTCATGCTTTCACCCATCTAGGGTTAAGTACATTGGTTCGGTTCGATTCAATTTGTTCTGACTCGAACCTGTTCCGGTTTAGGTCGGTCAGAACACTTGGTTCTACTAACCCATTATTAGGTAACCTTTTGGGCCAAAACGTTCGACTTGAACCTGACTGTATCTGTTCTGGCCAAACCGCCGGTTAGAGTTTGGTACTTGCTCAACCCTACTCCCATCCCATCTTTCAGTGTGAGACAAGGACACATGTATGCTGCAATGACAATCCAGCGTTCGCTCAGCAATTGTGCATCACTTGCCTCCTGTTCCACCTGATATTCGCCCTGGGGCTGGGGCGCCTCTCCCTCTTTGCTATGCCACCTGCTCCCGCTGCCTCTCAATCTCCCCCTATTTATAATTACTTTTGATTCGCTTAAAAAAAATGTTATTACCAGGGAAATAATGAACAATCAGTTCAGTGGCTCCATCCCAGCTGAGTTTGGCTTGCTGAAGAACCTAATAAAACTGTAAGGACTGTCTTCTTTGCCCCTCCCTTATTTTAGAATTCTAAAAAATTAGCTGCAACAAGATTGTCTTCATGAAGAACCCAATAGTACTGTAAGGACCACCCCTTTTGCCCCCCTCTCCTCTCCTCCACTCCGCACCTACCACCTATTCTCCATTTCACCCTCTGATGTTCTTTTGTACAAGCCTTTCTCACTCTCACAACCCAAGCCCAGAGGCCTGCAGTTCCTCCACTGCCTTCAATGGAGGTTTCTTCCAGAAGCTTCTCCCTGCCCCTTTGACTGTCCGCTAATTTCTTCCCTTGTTCCCTATTTCCTTTCCTTCTCTGTCGTGGTCTTTCCTCCCATGACTGTCAACACCCACATATATTTTAAATATACGTGCATGCAATGCCTATTGTTTTGGTTGACTTCTCGTTCTTTTCCTCTCTCACCTGCTCGTCTCTTTACAATTTTCCTTTTCAGAGATTCAAAGGCAAATGATGCATATGATGGCTTTCGCTTCTGTTTCGGCCTCTGTACATGATGGATTTTTTCAGAGACATGTCCTACAACCAAATTTCAGGCAGCATCCCTGACAGCTTCAGTGGGCTCCGCAAACTAAAGTACATGTGAGCAGCATGCACAATGACAGACGATGCCGGCTCGCGCTGTCTGCGTAGCTCCTAGTGTGTGTGTGGATCGCAGAAGGTGACACCAGAGATGACACTGGAGATGACACTAGAGATAACACCAAGCGACTCGTCAAACAAGGAGATGAGCCTTTGCTGGCGGACGATTCTGTCCTGAAGATGAGCGATTCTGCCATTGCCGTTTACAGTTGCTCATGCCAGCAGCACTGAAATATCCGTCCATGGTTGGCCGTTCCATTCCTAAACCCTAAGCACCTTCTTTCAGAGGGTCCTCATTCAACAACCCTTTTCACCTTATTTTTCCTTTCACCGTGTTTTCCCTTTCACCGTATCTTCCCTTTCACCTTATTTTCCCTTTCACCTTATCTTCCCTTTTCACCTTATTTCCCCTTTCGCCTTATTTTCCCTTTCACCTTATTTTCCTTTTCACCTTGTTTTCCCTTTCACAACCACCACAGGTATTTGTACCATAATGATCTCAACGGCTCTATTCCCACTAGCCTCAGCTCACTGACCAATCTGGAGTACTTGTAAGCCCTTCACTTGTCCTCTCCACTCCTTTCTTTCTCCTGACACCTTGTGAGCTCTCCTCAGTAGCCCTTTTCTGTGCTTCTCTTTGCTTTTGGCTGCTGCATCTGCGTCTATCCTCTTCTGTCTCTCCTCTCTTCTCCTATCCTCTCCTCTCCCCTCCTTTCCTCTTCTCTTTGCGCCTATCCCCCAAGTCGCCTCTTGTTTGTTCCCCTTCCCTTGACTTCGTTGTTCTTGCTTCACCACATGCCTGCCTGCCTGTTCACCTCCCTCCAGTCACCTGCCCATTCACCCTCCGACTCGCCCCCCCGTTCACCCGCTCGTTCACCCGCCAATGCCCATTTACTTTCCTGTTCACCTGCCCTTGACTGGCCCAGTGATGTAAAACAAAACAGACTCACAGGGACCATTCCCGATTGGATCCCAGATCATCCTTGGCTTTCTTGGCTGTGAGTATATAGCCTCCCTCTCCTGCACGGTTCTGGAGTTTGCCTTTCACTTTGCGAACTCTCTAATGTAGTACAAGTAGTAGATTAATTTGCTTGGATATATGTGCACACATAGCCTCCATCTCCTGCACAACTTTGCTTTTCAGAGCCTGTGCGGCCACCTCCAATTTTTTAACATGCCTTTCTTTTTTTAGGCATTCTTCTTCTAAATCCTTCTCTTGATCCAAATTCCCGGAGTAAGGCTCGGGAAGGGAATCAGGAAAATTGCCCGATGGGGTTTGCCCACAAGTCCAAATTATAGCTAAGATAGCTAAAATATCTTGGGGAGATGACGTTTGGGTGACATCCACACTTGTGTGAACTGCAACACCTGACACACAAAGTGCTACAGTAAACATAATGGTATACAAATTGTGTAAGAGTTAATTGCAAGTAAGAATCATGCACGCAACCTACCTCACATCACATTCGTGTCACCATTCTTTCATCCCCTTCTTCCCATCCTCTTTCTTCCCCTCCTCCCTGTGTCTCTTCGTCCGTTGCTGAAACCTGTGGGTGGGAGGGACGCATCCTCCCACACTCCCCCCCTCTCGGCAAATCAGGGACTTGCGTGTGAATTCGTTAGGTGGGTCTATTCCATCTAACATTGGCAACATGCGCAGATTAAAAAATATGTCAGTAATCAAGCACCACCTTTCCGTGTGCGCAATTGTGAGAAATAGGCAGCCCGAATGCTTCCTTTTCCATTGCTGTGCTCCTATCAAGGCACCACACGCACTGATGGGCAATGATCGGAAGAAGGACTTGAGTTTATTGCTGTCCCTTCGTATTGCGCTTGCCAATGTGTATTCAGGTTCCTGTCTGTAAACAGTCTTTCGGGGCCTGTACCAGCGTCCATTGGTAACCTCCTCGGATTAGAAAGCTTGTAAGATGTTTTTTGTTTACTGTTGACTGCGATATGATGCTTTATATGTGTGCCTGGACGTTGCAACTGCACCAATGAGCGGCTCCATTCTATCCAGCATTGGCGTTGGCGGCATGCATGCGCAGCCGAACAGAACCATAGCATACATGCATGCATCACCTTCCCTTGCCAGCGCCCCAACTCGAGCTGCGCTTGCCCATGTAAATGCAGACATCTCCACCGGAACAATCTCTCAGGGACCATCCCACCGTCCATTGGAAGCCTTGTCTACTTGAAAAAATTGTGAGCTCTTAATGTAATAAGACACGTGACTTTTGAGTCGACTGAAAGGTCAACTTAGTCAGGGACCATTTCACCAGCTGTGGAGCCTTCTCTACTTGCAAGATTCAAAAGCACTTATGACAGCTTTTGAGTCGACTCAATATAACTGGATGCGTTTTCTGTGTGCCACACATTTGCAACTTGCAAATCCAGCAAGTTGAGCGTTCCAAATTCATTATAGTGGACGCGGTGCCCATCCATCCAAATCCGAAATTTCAAGATTATCGAGCCTCCACATTGGAGAGGCATTTCCACTACTTTTGCATCGCAACCCTCTCCATGGCAGCACCACTTGGGGCACCAACCTCACGTGTCCAGCGAACTACACCAGCTGTGTCCAGAACCAGACAGTTTGGACTGCCTTCTGCCGCAAGTGCCCTTCTTTCTGCGCAACCTGCTTGAATTCAACAGGTGAGCGCAGTGCAACGCATGAAGCAAGAAAGAGCAAAACGAAACAGCAGCAAGTTGTGCCCAGCTGATGGCTCGGTTCAGTTAAGACAAGCCCTTATTAGCCAGAGCAACTCCACAAGATGCAATGCAAAACGACCTAGCAGATAGAGCTTCGGCGCACTTGCACCCTTCAGTTCCATTGTTCTTAAGCTCAGTAGCCTCACAGGACATTCTTGGGTTTGTTTCTCTGGACTTGCTTTTGAATTTTCTCAAATGCAACTTTTGGGCCAAACACTGCCCGGGTACCTTAACTCATTTGAAGTTTCTGAGCTTGTTTCTCTAGACTGCCTGTAAGTGTCGTCCCAACCCATCCCACCGCACCACTCGCAGCAAGCACCAACACCACCAGCAACACCACCAGCAACACCAACAGCAGCAGCAGCAGTGAGCCGGACTCAGCAACGTCTGGAGGCAGCAGTGGCTTACCGCTGGGGACAATTATCGGCATTGTTGTTGCTTCCGTGGTGCTGCTGCTGCTGCTGCTGCTGACGGCTGTGCTGCTCTACCTCCGCCACAAGCGGCAACAGAAATCACCACGTGGTAAGGAATATGTTTTTTTAGTCGACTCTTGAGTATTTTGAGCTGGTCCATAAATCAACAGGTGGCAAGGAAGATTATGTTTTTCTTTGCCGGATTTTGTTTCCTGGTAACCAAGGTGACAAGTGTCACGCAAGCTTTCATCGCATAATGTGTTTGCATCATTGCCAATGACCCTCACCGGTCACCTCTCACCCTCACCCCTCACCCCTCACCCCTCACCCCTCACCCTCACCCCTCACCCCTCACCCTCACCCCTCACCTCTCACCCTCACCCTCACCCTCACCCTCACCCTCACCCTCACCCTCACCTCTCACCCCTCACCACCACCCACACTCACTCCTCGCCCCTCAGCCACACTCACCCACCAAGCAGCCACAGTTGGCACTTTGGCAGGTTTAAAGAGTGCCGAGTTGTCTCTCGCTGAGGTTGAAGCGGCCACCAACAACTGGTCTGTGGAGAACCAACTAGGCTCGGGGGCCTTTGGCGACGTGTACAAGGGGGTGTCTCCTCGCGATGGTGTCACTGATTGGGCTGTGAAGCGCGCCAAGCTGCTGGTTGTGGACTTCCAGCGGGAGGTGAAGCCAAGCTGACAGATGTCGCGTTTATTGAAATATCAGCATCTGTTGTGAGGTGCTGCTGCATACTTGTTATATGCATAAGATGCCCTTTATTGTGTTGTTTGCTCTTCTCAACGCCCCTCAGCTCCAGCAAATGGCCGACAAGAACCATCCCAACATCGTGCGGCTGCTTGGGTTTGCTGTGGGGGGGGACATGAGGACACGGCCAGAGCAGGTTCTCATCTACGAGTTTGTGTCTAATGGTGACCTTGAGAAGTGGCTGGACCCAACAAGTGAGTCTACGCTCGAAGCCCTTGTGTTTGTCATTACCACATGCCATATTTATGTGCAGGACGAGATGTGCATGATGTTATGTCCTAGTGCCATGTTCTTAATGCGATGTGCCATGTGCCATGTGCCTAATGCCACGTACCGATGCCATGCCTAATGTCATGTGCCTAATGCTGCCTTCCTTCTGCAGAGGCACCATTCTCACTAACCTTGCCACAATGGCTAACAATCTTCATCGGGGCGGCGCGTGGCTTTGAGTATCTCCACAGCTTTGGCTTCGTGCACCGCGACATCAAACCCGCCAACATCCTCATCAGCGCCGACTTGCAGGCAAGCTCACAACAAGAACAACGGAAAAACGTGATACGGGGACAAATGCGCGATACTCCGTGACAGGCAGCCCGTTTCTAAACTGTCACCGTTCTCGCGATCTGCAATTCTCCGAAACCTGAGATTTGAAAGTCGAACGCCTTCCCCTCCCCCCCCCTCCACCGCACATCACCTCACACCACCTCCCAAACCCAACCCTTCCTTTCCCAACCACAAGCAGCTTGGGCTTTCACATCGGCGTGCGTACGAGCTAGAGGAGACCTTTCAAAACTCATTTGCCTCACGCCTCTTACACTCTACATCTCTTCTAACTCTTAGTTATGCTTCGAACAGCTATGTCGACCGCAATGTCGCACCTGCTATTGCTAGCAGTGGAGTAACGTCGCATCGCTTGCCAGATATTTGCAGCCGCAATTTCAGGGCGACTCTAGCCAACAAATTTTCTAGCATTTCAGAGTTCCTAATCGGGAACACTACAAGAGAGTAATCCGCATCTTCAAGTATTGCTGAAGTATTACAAGACATTCTACCACTACCGAAGTGTTTTTCCCCTGCGCGAAGGGTTTTTTGCCTGCCCGACACTCCGTATTCCGGGGGTTTTTTGTACGCTGGAAATCAGCGTGTACGGTAGCGTATATTCGTACACGTACCGTACGCCATACGCGTATTTCCAACATAGTGTGGATCAAATCGATTTGGTTCGACGTGTGTGTGGATCAAACGAGTTCAGGTTAGGCACTTGCTCATGTATACTTCTTTGTGGTTTGAAGTTCCTACCCATTTCCTTCGATACATGCACTGTTGAATGATGTATCCCTCCCTCCCACCCATTCCAGCAATTTACACCACCTTCGTCTTTCACCCTTGCTATATCGCACTCTTCATTTCCCAGGCCAAGATTGCGGATTTTGGATTGGTGAGGGTGGGAGAGGGCACAACAGTGCGTTCTACTCGGGTGATGGGAACACCGGGCTATGTGGATCCTGTCTACTTCAGAACGTCTAAGGCAACCACGGCCACTGATGTTTACAGGTACGTGAGGGTGGATTAGAAGATGTTTGCAACAAGCCATATTATTACTCCGTGCTCATTTTTCTTTTTGGAATGCTGTTGGCCCTTTTACTTAATCATGTTCATGTTAATACTGCGCAATGGAGTGCAATTATCATTGGAAACTGTTAGTTTTGTGGAGGTGGGTGTCATAGGATCAAGGTGGTTGGTGTATATGACAAGTGCATTTAACTTCTCGGTGCTAGCATGGCAGGGGGACCGTCTTAACGCAGCTCAAACATATATGCACTCACTCTCTCTCTCTCTCTCAAATGGTCCGTTGTATTAATTCAGCAGGGGTACAGATATGCAGTTCTATCCATGATAACCTCGATCCCATAAGCCCATCAACTCACCCCTCATCCCCTCACTCTCTCTCTCTCTCTCTCTCTCTCTCTCTCTCTCTCTCTCTCTCTCTCTCTCTCTCTTCCTCTCCCTCTCGCTCACCCTGGCTTCAGCTTTGGAGTTCTCATTTTAGTGGTGCTCACTGGACGCGCCCCGATTGATGACACCGAAGAGGAAAGGAGGCACTTCCTACCTTGGGTGAGCACCACCGCCGCCACCACCGCCACCACCACCAGTAGCATCGCCACCAGATTCCAATCTTCACTTGCATGCTCCACTAGCACCGCTCCCCGTTCGCTACTTTCAATATCTACCCTAACATATACAGTAGCATCAATCGGAAATGCCTTGCTTTGCTTGAGGGTCGGCCACTCACCACACACCTCTTTTTCCCAAGTGCATCGTGCTCCTCACTCTCAACTGCCCTGCTTCCCAACCTCCATGCTTCTAGGTAAACGAATGTCTGTTGCAGGGGAATGTGGCAGACCTGAAGAGCCCCAGTGTGGACGCCCCAGAGGAAGTGCTGCTGCACCTCACTCAGCTCGCTGTGAGCTGCACGGTGGGGCGCACGGCAAGCCGGCCAACCATGGGGGACATTGCCAATGAGCTGCAGTCGATTAGGAACGAAGTGGCGGGGAAGGAGGAGGTGAGTGCGGCGGTGAAGGTGGATGAGGAGGAAGAAGAAAGAAAGAAAGCGTTCATGATGGTCAGAACCCTGGATGAAGAAATAGACCGCATTGGCGACGACAATTTTGCATGATTGACTTGTTGATATTGTTGGAAATCTTGAATGTACCGACTTAACCTAGCATTCCAGTAGTTCTTCACTGTAGACTGAGCGAGTATTTAGTAAGTACATTACAGCACCTCGTTGACAATCCGTGTAACTTTGTGCATGGTTTATCTCGTTGTGATGCATTTGTTAGAGTGGCAAATAGCGAGCGAGTAATGTGGTACCGTGATCCCCTGCATGGAGCACCCCCGAAAATAGAAAACCCAGAAGGTATTCAGTTAAAGCGGGTGTTTAAAACAAAAATATAAAATTGTGAAGGTCGTTTCAGCTTGAAATTTGGATCCCGCCAAAACGATTTTCCATGCACACAGCACGCCGTCGCATTTCTGCATGCTGCACCCACACGACCTTTGCCCAGCAATGGTTTCCATTGCTGGGCGAACTTCCACTTCAAGTTGGAACTGGGCTTGTTAGAATCAGCAAGCAGGAATGGTGGACTAGGTAGCATGCATGAGTACAAGTACCTAACCCTAAAGTGTTGTACCCCTTAGGGTAAGCCCCACTACAGCCTAGAGATAACAAATGTAATTTGACACAACCCCATAGGCAAAGTGGGGGATAGCAAACACACCGGACGGTCACAAGACCAGTCAAGCAAGAGAACAAAGCAAAGCAAAGCTCAGGGTCGATCTCAAGATCACTACGCATTCTGAGCACAAGCAAGCGGCCACAAGGCCAGTTCACATGCTGAGTTATAATAGCAAGGCAGTACACTGATCACAACCTAGTAAGAGTAAACAAGCAGGTATAAAGATATATATCAGTGTACAACAAGAGCAAGTCAAGCAACCAGCAGGTGAGGCAGAGTGGGCACAAGCCCAAGAGCAGTGCGGAAACGCTGATGATCACCAGACCCAAGGGCCTTGGTGAAGACATTAGCAGTGTTGGCCCGAGTGGCCACGTAAGCAAGGCGCACCTGACCACGCTGCTGCAGCTCACGCGAGTAGCGAAGAGCAATGTGCTTCGTTCTGTGCTCCAATCTCTGCTCGCGACACAAGGCAAGCATTGCCTTGTTGTCGACGTACAGAACTGGAGGAGAACGAGGCCGCTCCCCCAAGTCGGTCAGCAGGTAGGTCAGCCAGCGTAGCTCCTATGCAGCCATGGCCCCAGCGTAGATCTCGGCCTCACAGCTGGAACCAAGCACAGAAGAAGAACGAGTGGAACTCCACGAGACAGAACCAGAGCCAAGACTGAAGGTGTAACCCTGTGACGAACGCTGAGTCGCCTGGTCGTCGGCCCAAGAAGCGTCAGAGTGTCCTGTGAGTACCACTGAACCCCGTCCTCCAAGCACGAGCCCCATGCCCGATGTACTGCACAAGTAACGCAGTACCCTCTTCGCAGCATCAAAGTGCACCTTACGGTGTCTACCAGGTGCCACGTAGCGAGCCAGGAGGCTGAGAGGGTACGCGAGGTCGGGTCGTGTGCACGTCATCAGGTACATGAGGCAACCCACAAGCTCTGGGTACGGACCACTCGGCTCTACGGACTCGTCCGAAGGTGGAGCTGAGAGCGAGTGACCGGTAGACAGAGGAGTGGGCTGTGGCGAGGAGTACTGGAAGCCGAAGCGCTGAAGGACCTGGTGCACCATGTGTGACTAAGTCAGGGTGATGGTGCGCCGTGCTCTGTCCCAGGTGATCTGCAAGCCAAGATAGCTCCGCAGCTCACCCAGGTCAGTGCAGGTGTGTCTCTCCTGCAGCTCCGCCTTCACTAGGGCCAGCGCCTCTGTGTCAGCAGACCAAGTCGTCGACGTACACGAGGATGTAGAACGCCGGCAGAGTAGTGTCGGTGCGTAGAAACAGCGACGGGTCAGCAGTCGAAGGAGCAAACCCAAGAGCCGCAAGTGTCGTCCTCACCATGTCGTGCCACTCGGGGGGCGCCTGACGCAGGCCGTATACTGGTCGTCGTAGGCTCCACTGGGTACCCTCAGGAAACGACCCAGTGAAGCCCTCTGGACAGCCCAGCCAGATGGCCTCGTGAAGGCTACCCTGCAAGAAAGCTGTCGAAAAGTCAAGGGAGTGCAGCTCGTAGTCACGCTGAGCTGCAACGTGTAGCAACACCCGAAGAGTGGTCATCTTCGGGGTGGGGGAGAAGGTCTGAAAGAACTCGACCCCCTCACGCTGACTGAAGCCTCGAGCGACGTAACGTGCCTTGAAGGCAGGCGGAGAACCCGGCGGCCGCTTCACCCTGAAAATCCACATGCCACTGACAATGTTCGCCCAGGTGGGGGATCCTCGTCAACGTAGGTGCATGTGGACTTCCAGGAAGCCATCTCTGCGTCCATTGCTGTCTGCCACTGAGAGGAGTACACACCCGAGATCGCCTCTCTGTAAGAGCGCGGGGTGGGGATGTCAAGTGCATCCGGGTCTCCCTCAAGGGCAAGCAGCATGGTAGCGAGATGAGGTGCAGCAGCCGCAAGGCACTCCAGCTCCTCCTGTCTGTCTTCAAGAACGTCACAGCCAAGGGCAACCTCACCCCCGACGGACGGAGGACAGGCAGGGTCAGGGTCAGAAACGAGACTCGCAAGGTAGTCTAGGCGGTACGCAGCAGCAAAGTCAACTAGCTCAGCGACTAAGGCAGACGCAGCAGGAGACGAGAATGTAGGGTCCGTCACAACCGTAGCAAGAAAGCGAGTAACAGTCGGACTGGACACACGAGCAAGGTCAGACGGAGGGTCAGCAACGTCAGGAAGAGAAGACGCAGGAGGTGACGGCAGGACAAGACGCTGTGGAACGGAGGAAGGACGGAGTGTCATATCGTGAGTGCCTGGGACAGCCGGGGGACGCTGACGACGAACACGAGGAACACGAGTACGGACAGCGGCTCTAGGCTCGGGTTCAAGGTCAAAGCTAGACTCAGGCTCTCGACGCTCAGGGGTGGAAGAACGAGTCTCAGGCTCTCGACGCTCAGACAGGGACTGTGTCACCGCAGTGTAAGGAGCAGGAGAAGGCAGTGGGGAGTGCGGTAGCAGCGGCGGCTGAGACTGGTCTGCCGGTGGAAACAGTAACGAAGGGGTAGTACCTGCCACAGGGAAGTCAGTAGCACCTGGCGGAAGACTGAGAAGGTGGCGAAGAGCACCAGCAGCTCCCGTACCTCCAGCACGAGCAGCTCCACCAGTACTCCCAGCAGCACCTCCAGCACCAGTAGCACCAGCACCTCCAGTACCTCCAGCACCAGCAGCACCAGTAGCTCCAGGTCCTCCAGCACCAGCAGCACCTCCAGTACCTCCAGCACCAGCAGTAGGACCAGCACCTCCAGCACCAGTAGCACCAGCAGCTCCACGTCCTCTAGCACCAGCAGCACCTCCAGTACCTCCATCACCAGCAGGACTAGCAGCTCCAGCACCTCCAGAACCTCCAGCACCAGCAGCACCACGTCCTCCAGCACCAGCAGCACCTCCAGTACCTCCAGCACCAGCAGCAGGACCAGCAGCTCCAGCACCTTCAGCACCAGCAGCTCCAGCAGCTCCACGTCCTCCAGCACCAGCAGCACCTCCAGTACCGCCTGCACCAGCAGCAGGACCAGCAGCTCCAGCACCTCCAACACCTCCAGCACCAGCAGCACCAGTAGCTCTACGTCCTCCAGCACCAGCAGCACCTCCAGTACCTCCAGCACCAGCAGCAGGACCAGCAGCTCCAGCACATCCAGCACCGGCAGCTCCTCCAGCAGTACCTCCAGGACTAGCAGCTCCAGCACCTCCAGCACCAGCAGTACCTCCAGGACTAGCAGCTCCAGCACCTCCAGCACCAGCAGTACCTCCAGGACTAGCAGCTCCAGTACCTCCAGCACCAGCAGTACCTCCAGGACTAGCAGCTCCAGCACCTCCAGCACCAGCAGTACCTCCAGGACTAGCAGCTCCAGCACCTCCAGCACCAGCAGCACGTCCAGGAGCACCTCCAACACCAGCAGGACCGAGCCCTCCACCACTAGGACGGCCACGCCGAACGATCCACGCACGGATCCACTCAGGCGAGGGCGCCTCAGGTGGACTAGACTGTCCAGCTCCACGTCCTCCAGCAGGGTCACCCACAGCTCCACCGCCACTAGGACTCGCAACACCCCCAGAGTCAGCACCTCCAGTCGAAGCACCCCCAGAACCCTCACCCTCGGTCTCAGCACCCCCAGAACCCGCACCCCTAGTGTCACCACCAACAGCAGCTCCAGGGTCCACAGCAGCAGGCTGCTGAGGCGGCGAAGACGGAAAACCAGGGGGGGTCTCCAAGCGAGGAGAGCGGGCAACCTCAGGCACAGTACCCCCAGGCTCAGCACCAGCAGTCTCAGCTCCAGAGTCCACAGCAGCAGGCTGTGGAGGCAGCGAAGATGGTCGAGGCGGAAAGCCCGGGGGGGTCTCCAAGCGTGGAGGGCGGCGAGTGGCCGCCGTGTCGTCCGCAACAGGGTCACCCCCCTCAGCTGGGCCAGAGGAGTCAGAAGAGATCTCCACTGGCTCATCCAAGGGGGGTGGGTCGACCTGAGACACACCTGAGGGAGCAAGACCCTGTGGGGGGAGTGGGTCTTGTCAGAACTAGCAGTAGAAAGTAAGAATGAAGAAAGGAGGAGGTTCACTAGCAAGCAGTTGAGTACATATAGGAAACCCTAGATTGGGCTGTACTCGCTATAGAGTACCCCACTGCAGGCTAGACAAATACAACATTCTGACACACCCCCATAGCCAAAGTGGGGTGTAATCAGCACAATGAGCAGGTATAGCAGGAGTTCACAATAAGAAGCAAAGCTAGAGGTAATCACAGCGGGCAAGTGAGGAGGAGGAGGGACTGTGAGAGGAGAGAAGATGAGAGACGGCGGCTGAAGCTGCAGACACACGGGCAACAGGAGCTGCTGGCACAGTGGCTACCGGGACAGTGCGCCCCGGACTACTGGAGTAACTGGCTCACGGGCTACGACGAGCTACAGGAGCAACGGACCCTCGGGCGACAGGCGCAGCAGACTCTCTGGGCTACCAGGACAGTGCG